AATCAGGGTACTAAGTTAATTAAAACTGAATTTAAAAGTACATAATTACTACATTCTATAGACTAATTTATGCCTATAAGAAACTCTCCCTAGTCCTGCAATACAATAAATCCGAATTGAACGAAAAACAAATGAATACAGGATGAAACTAGGTAATAATTCTGAGTTCTTGTATAAGTTCTAACAGGCATTGCAGGATCAAGCCCAACACTTTTGGGTAGACAAGAAAATGCCAAATTTGAGCAGAATCTACTGAACTTGAAATATCATTTTATGCAACAAAATAAGACTGTCATTTTGACTTAGCACTGCTAAAATACAAATCCACAGTTCATAAACACTCTATTAATATTAACAACTTTAATGCTACATATTAATACAGGGAGCATGTCATTAATATGAATAAATGGCTGAATCATTGCTATCTCTTGGACTAATATTATTTATATATGAAAGAACTTGTAGATTATTCTATATTTTTTTTTATTAAAAAAGTATCTTAAAGTAATCAGTGTGCCAAAACTATATTTGTTGTCGGTACCCGCCGTCATTTTTGTGAAAAATTCATTAAAAAGAAAGTACGGAAATTCTCAGAAATATTCTAAATAAATATTAAGGTACATTAAATAGATATATCAAAACTTCGTACACTATGACCAAGTTTTAATAATAAAAATGACTCGAGCTTTGATAATACATAACATATTATACAGTATTTCTTGTTTAATTTGAGAAGTGCCGTATTGGAACCAATTCACAAAATACGACACTTTCCAATAAAACACTTAGGAATAGAAAAAGAATAAACTAACATTCCTATTATTGATATAGATATTAAAAGGAATACTACAATTTTGTAGATACTTAAGGTGATCCTAATAATAAGTTTCCCAATTATTTAAAAATCGTTTGTCATAGTTCCTTGGGAAGATTCATTGCTAATATTATGCATTATCGTCAAAATTTTATGAGGATAATGCACAAGCTTAATGTTAATCTATGTATTATACAATTTCGAAACATCTCACTAAATTATGAAGAATAGGTAGCAGTTGAATTTTTTGAAACTTGTGTATTTAATTAAACTTGATTTCCTGATCGAAAATACCTTCATCATTTTTTAAAACTGTACTTCGCGGTGTTATTTTCTGTAAAAAAAAACAAAATGTAAAAATATAAATTTGATGATGAAGATTTTAATCAAGATTTTAAGGAAAACACATTCAAGCTTCATATAATTTCAACCAGAAATAATATCTTATAAGATAGTGCGACGTTCTTACGTGTAATATTTTATCATTTTAATCTTTCGAAATTCACATACCTAAACCACTATTAGTCTACAAATTATGTTGGCACATTTTTATACTTTTCAGAGTATTAAAAAATATTAACTAGTTACTATACAATATTCAAATATAGCAAATAAAACTGACAAGGTGCCTTAAACATATTTAATATTTCTTAAAAAGATTCGTTACATGCCTGATAACAACACTTTTACTGAGATGATTCTAGACAGTTGAAATATCAAATATTTACAACAAGAGTGGTTGAATGTAATGGTATTTGTATTCGCGAAATTGTTATAATAACACATAACCCCATACAAACATTTGCAGTAATATCATTCAAATTTATATAGATATCGGAATATTATTAAAGAGATTCTTGCTAAAGTCATAGCCCAATCACCTAAACAAAATAATCCAATGAAGTTAAAAACAATAGAACAACAGAGTCTAGAGAAAACGCTACAAGGAGACAAATGTTTTAAGGATAATAAGTATATTGTGATTTATTTAAAAATACCAGAGAGTCTAAGACGATTCTTAAGGAACAACTTTGGAACTAATCTATATAAAGATTCAAAACCACATTACTAGATTATTTAAAAAAGTGGGAAACACGATAATGGAAGACCAAAGCGCAGTATAGAACGGGGGTAGACTTTTGGAACATGCTGGCTGTGGAGCCAGTTTTTATTATGAACAGGAATGATCTGGAAGAAGCAGTTTCTGCATGGTGATGATGAAACAAGGCCTCTACGATCTCCGGACCTCACAGCACTAGGTTATTTTTATAGAGCTGGTTAAAAAAGGTAGAAAGTAAGTACCTATTAGAAATATTTCAGCCGATGTTAAAGAAAGACATGAAGCAAATACAAGAGTAATAAGTGTCCTTTGTAGACGAAGCAGAAAATGTCGGTATTTAATAAAAGAACAATATTAATGTATGCAATTTTTTTATTATTATGCTATATCTTGGAAACAAATGAAAATTAGACAATACAATATTTTTACTAGAGTTTGTACCTTTCCTCCAGACTCGTCCTTTTTTTTAATTGAAAAGACTGTAACTATAGCAAGTTTAAATAAAAATACACAACGTACCAACATCATAAAAGTTTAAATATTAAATACAGGGTAACAATTTTTTCTGATACCATCAGTTCATGAGATAGCCATTGTAAGTTTCTAAAATTGTCACCACCTATAATTAATTTTCGCAGTGGATTAAATTAATGAAATCACTAAATTTCTCGAAACATAAGAGGTTACACCTAAGTTTAAAAATGAGTATTATTGCAACGCTTTCACCATTAATAGTTTTAAAATCAAATTAAAAGTATGGAAGACAGCAGTAAGAAAAAAAATAAACAAAGAGGAATGTATAGTGTAGACTAGAGCCATCCCAATAATTTTATGATTTGATCATTTGTTTTACAATATTGTCCAAAACTGATTAGAAAAACTACAGTTGAATAGTATAAAATGTTATGTAATTCAAAATGACTAAATACGATACACAAATTAATATTTTCTAGAAATTTACATCTCGTAAGCTAATATATAAATATAAATAAACATTTATAAATAAATAAAATAAATTAGAAAATCTAGAATTCCATCTAAAATCAATTGTCAACGATAATTGTTTGTTTCTTAGTACATAGTACATAATACGAACGTTTATTGAAATGTGCTGTAAATTCTATGGATAGTTTTAATATGTACAAAAAAATCATTTTACATGTTTTAACATTTCTTTGGCACGGTTAATAAAAGTCCAGCCTATACACGTTGATGGTAATTTGCATAAACAAGGTGTTTCATTAGGAAATGTCCATATTTTAGGAGAGTCATGGATTTCGAAGATAATTACAAATTAGAATCATGACTTACCACCACATTTTATAATAATACAACTTAAATATTACATACATGTCATTAGAAATGCATATATGTTAAAAAGAAAGATGGCCAAAAGGACCTTTGATCAGCATATAAGCTGTTGTTCCTCAAAGGACTCGTTCAGGGGTTCATTTTAAAAGACATAATACTCAAAATCAATCCCACATACAAAAAAATGTTTATTAATAATTAAATTACATAGCAACCAGTTTCGGCCCTATGACCATCATTAGGCATAAAAGTGAAGAAAAATACGGGTACGTTTTGAGCGTAGTGATTTATCCCTCGTAGTAAAATCTTCTTTTCTTTGCTTCCGTTCTTTTTATTTTGAGAAACCATTCCCCTTGGGTCATTTGTAAAAATCTTTGAAACTCGGTAAGTTTTCATTCACTCTTTTTGTTTCAGTCCTCTATTTACAACCAGACTGTGCTAGTTTTATTTTGTCATGCTGTCTACTTGATTTATTTTGACCCTAATAATTGAAATCAGCTCATTTTGGTAATTTGATAGTTGATTTTCACAGTAGGTCTATTATTTATCAGACCACTCTCTCTCTTCCTTATCTACGCTGAATACTCCAATTGTCACAAAGTAAACGGATTACATCTTCTCCACTTCGAGCTAAACCAGCTGCCAAAAGCTGTTCATCAGTCTAAATTTACCTTTGGACATCGTAAATTGTTATAGTTGCCTTTCGTAATTTAATTTTGAGGTAACAATCGACATATAACGTTAACACGCCAATTTAAACCTTACACCGATACCTGGACAGCACATCCAACTTCTGACCATTAAATCACTTCGTTCTGGTCCATATGACTGGAATGTCCTACTAAATGTTTATCTATTTAACCTAATGCAAATTTTACATTTTAAAATCCACCATTATCGTTGTTATAATTTTATATTCATTCCCTGCTGCCACTGATGGCTTAGGAAATTACCATAATTTAGTTGTAAGTAAGCTTGTTAATGTTGTTAGTTCTTTCTTAACTAACCAACATTTAGCTAAAACACATTTTTCTTTACGTTTAAACTTGATGATGGCCATAGGGTCGACACCGGTTGCCATGTAATTTAATGTTTTGTATGTGGGATTGATTTCTGAGTATCATTTCTTAGTATTTAAAACGACTACATTACAGCCGATGGACAACCCTTCTTCATTTAAATAAAATATTGACTAAATACGAAAGTTTTTCGGTGAAATTTTTAATTTTCGACTTTTTAACGGAATTGTTTGATAGTCGCAAATGCATGATAATAACTGGCTTGATAAATCTGTATGATAGTAAGTCGCAAGTTTATTAAAAATGAGGACTAGAGAAGCATTCATGCAATTTTAAATAATTATTTCGCAATAAAACACCCAGTACGTTTTGTTATCGGTTAAATGAATTGATTTAGATGGATTTGTTCAATAATAAATAATTACATTACAATTTCCAATAGTGAAGTTGCACACATAAATGTGAAACTTATTGCATTTCAATTTAAGAACAATCTTATGCTTATTAAACAGACCAAGTCCGTTTAAATGATAAATTATCTATTAAATTAAATATGTATATACAACGACAAACTGCACAATAATTTAAATATATTACATATTACGAGGAAAATTTACAGTTAGAGGTACTAAAAGATTGCAAACGTAGCAATTACTATACAAGTAATCGAGTCATTCAGACACTAATACACCAGCGGTCAATACAATGATTTGTACTAAAGTGTGACCAGCGACCCAATTCATTAACAAAAACAACCAACAACTAGTAAAACTTGCTAAAATATACAAGTGATGCACTATCTTTTCTTACTCAGAAAGGCTTTTTTGTGCGGGGCGGCCGGCGTATGAGGTCTGGAAGTCTGAGGTCGTTTCTTGGCTAAATTGCCGTCTTGTGCTCCGTTGCAACACGAACATAGTTTCCTAACACTTCTCCTAGCTCCCCTACCACTACTCGGAGAATCTACATCCTCCTCACAATGCAACTCGCATTTCCCCTCTTTTACAATTTCCGATTTCGATATATGCACTACTTTATAAATATCTTCGCAATTAACTTTAGCTATTTCAGTACAAACTACCGTATCCTCAGAGCTGGATACCACCTCTCCACCATAATCCTGTTTAATCCTATCCCCTTTTTTCCTATTACTATATTTAAACTTATATTTATGCATAGCAGCTTCTTGATACATTTCTGGAGATATGGGAGAATTTAGAGTTACTTCTGACATTGCGGCACATTTTGGTAATAGTGTATTGTCTTCACACCCTGAAGAACATGCTTCGATATTTCCATTCATCTGTCGTCCTTGATAATCTAAAGTTTCCACCGGTTGGTATTCGACGTACTCAAACAGATCGGCTCTTAGTGAACCAGAATTTTCGTCGTCGCTAAACAAATTCATTGCTTCTTTAACCTCTTCTTTGATTTCAACAACTTGCGATACGCGCTTGATATCTTGAGAGGTCTGGTCGAATGACGGCGAGTGATTGGAATCGAATAAAAGATCTGCTTCGGGAAACAAATCGCTAGTGCTCGGTTCATCGACGCCCAAATCTTCGCATTCTTCAGAAAGAGATTTCTGCAGTCTCAATTCTCTTTCTATAGCGGCCTGCTTCTGCATTTCGCTGTCCATCTTCTGCGATTCCGCGACAACCTTCTTGGTTTTGTTTACGTAATACGTCGCGTTTCCCCTAAAAGTCTTTTGTTCGTTGTTAGGCTAAAAAGAACATTATATAATTAATAAACTGGCCAACGTTAAAGTATGGAACGCGAGACATAATTAAAATATATATACTAATTTATTTCTTCCATTAGATCCATAGTTTATGAAATTATTAAGGAATTTGTATCAATCACTTCAATCAAAATTTTGTTTTAAGCCCCACGTTGGGCGCAAATTTTATATATTTCAATAAATCGAAATAAATTTGTGAATTGTCAGATAATTTTAGAAATTGATTATCAACAGGGAAATGTATTTGAAAATAGAAACGGGATTAAACACCAGAGCTGTAACTAGACTTGTTGGCGCCTGTGGCAAATCACAAATTTTGCGCCTCTCCCAACCTAAATTAAGCTGATAAAATATATATTTCATTTTAATAAAAACAGACAAGAACAAAAAAAAAACTAAAACTGTCAAATAACTAAACTATAAATAAAATAACTAAAAATATATTCTATGAACAAAAAACAATATTTGGTTTTAATCACATAATGATATATTAAATATACAACTTAAAATAGAACTTCTGCAAATATGTTTATAATCTCATCATAATTTAAATTAATTGCAGTCGATTTTTCAATTGAAATTATACATATTTGTTAATCGTTCTTGCCCTACAGAAGAACGTAAATGACTTCACAAGCTTAAGTTTGCTGAACGAACGAACAACAAACTTAATAAAAGAAAATTGAGTGCTGTAGTACAATACGAAATGAGGAAAAAAGAAAAGAGAACAACCGGAGAAAGAAATCTAAATGCTTGCTGAAGAAGTGAGCCATCCCCTTTAATGTCTACTTTTACCAATGTTCATAATATGTATACGAAATTTGATTGAACTGAGAAATACAAAATAGAAATTCTTTTGATAGTTAATATAGGGTTTATAAAAAAAATTCTTACCTTTTCGCCATTATGAAGAAAATCTTTACTAGCTGGTTCGGTGGTATGCGTTTTATCTGAAACTTTACGATATCTCGGATTTGTGTGTGAAAGCATTGGACCATTTGAAGACCCCGCTGTCACTAATACTGATTGAATCCGCTCACTTTTTGCTTCAGCTAAAAGGAAATATTATTCCAGTATGTAGAAAACTTTTGTTACACGATGATATAACTTAAGTAGTGTGTACTGTGAACACCTTTAGCGAAAGGTGTAGTCTGATGTGGGATTTGATGGAGTATGTATTTGGTTTGCATGACCAGAGAAAACTTCCGGAGGGAAGAGTTCCATTGTGGGTATGAGGCAGTTTCTAAATGTTAATGGGCAATAATAAAAATACGCATAAAATAAACTAAAAAGTATATTCTCAGGTTGTAACTACGTATAAAAATGTTGTTCTCTTCATAAGATATTAAAAAAATAATAATATCTAGGTAATTATGAGAGTTTGAAAATTCACAGGTAATAAACGTTAGTATGACTTGTATGTAAAGATTCTTTTTTACTAATATTGTAGTTGGTGACTAAACCGAGCATATTTTTTTTTCTAGTGTGTAGTTTATTCCAAATTGTATTAACCACCTATGATTATAATAAAAAATATATAGTCTGTTGCAATTTATAGTAGAAAATCTTTAAACATGAAGGAAGGTTGTGTATTAGCCGGAACAAATGGACTTGAAAAATTAATGTTTTCTGCTTGGGGGACAAACATGATAATATTATTTCGTAAGGATGTTTTTAAGATTTTCTAGTTTTTCTAAAGACCCTAACTTTAGCAACAAGTGGTTGCATCTTAGCAAGAGGAAAGATAAACTTAATATAAAAACCTTTCCCGCAAGATTCGTGCCAAAAATCCCAGAGACCAATTTTACAGCGAAAGTAACGCGTAAAGTAAAGATACATGAAGTTAGTCATTTTATATTTTTTAATATTTTTCTGATCCGAATCTTAATAAACATCTTTTGTATTACACATTTTGTTGTAGCTGTTATAATAAATGCGTTACAGAGAAAATAGGCACTCCCCTCTCCCTAATAAGAGTCGGGCTATGAGTGACGTCATGCACATGGCAGACGAAAACTTAACACGGAAGAATCCGGCCCTGGGTAGTATTGGTGTGGAATTTACCCAATCACTTTAGTTTAGTTTCAAAGTTTATGCGATTTGGTCGAGATTTCGGTACTATATAGTTAAAATAAGTAGTGAAAATGAGTGAGGTAGTTAATGTTCAACAGTGTTCTTCCGAAATAAATTTGGACAAACAGGAAAACAGAAGCGTTATCACCTTTCTAGTGATGCCAAGGAAATAGTTCTAAACGTTTATTCTGGACCGATTTCGCTAATTCTTTTTTTGTTGTATTTGTTATTGTCAGGAGAAGGTTCTTATGAAAGAAAAAATTAAGAAAATTGCGCGGAAAATTTCTATATATATATAAAAATGAATCCCTATTTCCATTGGTCACGGCATCACGCGTGAACGGCTGGACCGATTTCGCTAATTCTTTTTTTTGTTGTTTGTTATTGTCAGGAGAAGGTTCTTATGAAAGAAAAAATTAAGAAAATTGCGTGGAAAATATATAAAAATGAATCCCTATTTCCATTGGTCACGGCATCACGCGTGAAGGGCTGGACCGACTTCGCAAATTCTTTTTTTGTTTTGTTTGATATTGTCAGGAGAAGGTTCTTATGAAAGAAAAAATTAAGAAAATTGCGCGGAAAATTACTATATATATAAAAATGAATCCCTATTTCCATTGGTCACGGCATCACGCGTGAACGGCTGGACCGATTTCACTAATTCTTTTTTTGTTGTGTTTGTTATTGTCAGTAGAAGGTTCTTATGAAAGAAAAATTTAAGAAAATTGGGCGGAAAATTAGAAAATTTAAGAATACCATATTAAATTAAACTTTTTTTGATGTAACCTTATGGCGTTTGACATAACAATGACAGAATGCGTGCTGCAAATATTGTCAAAGATGAATATCGTTTAAAACAGATGCTTCGGTCGGAGTAGTATATCATAAAGCATTAGAATAATAAACCTTTATTTCTGAAATATTTTTTTAGTTAATTATACCAATTCGAAATCAATATTCATAGTTAAGACAGGACAACGTCTGTCGGGTTCGCTAGTATTGTAAATAAAGTATTTTTTGAAATAAATGTTACATTTTTTTCAATGCAAATTAGACCGCAAAAGGATCTATGTAGAAATCAAATTTTAAAAATAATCTTTTACATTTGAACAAATAATACTCAACCTAAGCCGGCTCTGATCAGCATGTTGGCGAACCATTCAAGAGGTTACCAGATCATTGCGCTTTCTAGATTATCTTGCAACGGACTATATATAAAAAGTTTTGCCTTATACTTCACGGTAGGATAGCTCAAGAATACAAAGATAGGGACATCGTCAGAATTTCTTTGACATGGTAAGGTCTTGGGTACTAAGGAAATCTTCTGAGACACTCATATATTTGGTATTCAAAGATTATAATTACCTTTCGCCGCAACTGTCGCCGTTGTCACAATAGTTTGACTCGGAACACCAGTCTGAATCTTGGAAGTAGGTGTAGCCGTAGCTATCACTGAAGTTTCTACAGAGTTAATTACGGTTTTCTGGTAAGTTTGAAAAATCTTCCCATCGGAATTGTCAGACTCATGTTCAATTTTAATATTTTCTATCTTAATTTCGCTAGGTAAATTCGTGCTACTGTCAGGTTGTGGTCTGTCATTCGTATCTCTCAATTCCTCCTTAGGTTGCGTTATAGCTAATAGTAGTTCGGTATTTTCTCTGTCGTCCCCTATTCGCTTTAGAGTCAAGGGTTGACCGAGCGCCATTGTAGACGGTAAAAGTACTGGTTGCTGACCAACGCCCGTCAGAGTCTGAGTTAAACCAGTAATAGGTTGAATCGTTGAATATTTCACTGCAGATATAGCTTTTCTGCTTTGGTTCGTGAAACTTTGAAATAACAGCATGTTTTGGCCGGATCTAGCAGGAACAGTAGCCAATATCTTACTCCCGCCTGACATTACTGCGATTTGTTGTCCACCTTTATTAAAAATATATCAAATTAAGCTATTTATTCTATTTGAATTGAATAAATATTTAAACATATTTCACAACATACCTATCTTGATTTGAATAATTTGAAGATGTGCTCACTAACATACAAAACGATGCATTCGATAATTGAAAAAATAAAACACAATAAACTTAGCTAAACAGAAAGTGGTGCAAAAATATATCGCATTGCTTTGAAACAATTTTTTCATTTTGGTTTGGAAATATGGGAAAAATACTTTCTTTACGTTACGTCCATATTGTTGAAAACACGTAAAATAAATTGAGAGGTTACTGTATGATTAGGAATTAAAAAAAAATCACTTGTATCAACAATAATGACCAAGAAGTAATACATACTTTAAAAGATACTTTTTAACTTAATTTTGAAAACTTAAATTTTCCTGATTTCAACATTTCAACATTATTTTCGAAACGTAAAATTGTAAGAATTTTTATCCCACTTTAGCGGTATTGTGTCCACAGCATTTTTATTTTGATTACGTCCTAATTACAATAACAAACACTTGACGTTTTCGTTTTACTACCAAAAATTTCTATATAACAAAAATGCAACACCAAAAATATGCAGAGTGGAAACTCTAAAAAAAGCAACACAATAAAAAGCTGTCAAATCACTACTAGCACAATGTGATTTAAATTAAACTAGCCAATTTAACTTTTTTCGAATATTGAGTGTAGAATTCTAATTAAGAATGAAAAAATCACTAGTAATTAGATTAGGAAGACATCTACACATTTTTTTTGTTGGTAATAAACTTTTAAAAAAGCAAAATATAAAAAATCAAACCAGCCAAATTTAAATTAAAAAATAACTAGTACGTTTATTTTTATCACATTGTACATTTGTTTCAAATTACTAAAAATTATAGTTTCAGAATTGGGTTGAAAAGAAATAAATTAAAATTAATTTACAGCTCGCGTCTTATTTGTGAATTGATAATTTATCGTCTTGTAAAACTCCGAACAGCTATTAAATTTTCATAAAACGTATATCCAGAGAAAGAAGGAAACCAAAAAAAGGAAAGGAAAAAAAAATAAAGTAAAATAAAAATAAATAAAATTTATTAGATCTAAATAATACAATAAGTAGTTATGTACACGTTGTTCAAAAGAAAAACATCCAACTTCCTTTATTCCTGTTGGTGTTTTCGAAGAAACTCGCAAAAATCAACTTATTACACACAAAAAATCATTCGTAATAGTATACTCTGTAATTGTCTCCATTCAGTTTTAAAAAACTTTCAATGGTGTCAATTTAACAGATTTCAAATAAAATAATTTTAAATTATCGGCAATGATGCCAATCCAGATATACTTTTTGCTCAACGATTTCAGTATTGATTGCTCAAAAATGTCCTACACGTTATGTAATAATAGTGGTATTCTTTTTACAGGTTCTGATCTAAACTAAGTTTTATCAAATTTTATAATTTCTTTAACATTCAACACTACGATCTTGCCCCCTGTTATCATAGTCTTTTAATCTCTCTACTGTTGGTAAAAAAAAGAATATGTATCAATACGAAATGTGTCGATTAAAATTAAGTATTATTTTAAAATAGTTCTTTTTTGGAATATATTTAAAAAATATTTCAAGTAACAAAGCAAAACATGCCCCTTTAGAAGCAAATTTGCAAAGGATGCTACTTCAAACCCTGTCACTATTGACAACCAACAGACATTATGTCGCTTTAGGTCTAAACCACCTTACAAAATCCGATAGAACTAAACTGGCGCAAAAATAAATATGCACTTCCTGGCTGATTATTTCAACGTAGGTTTTATTACCGAAACTCAAAATCTCAAAAAGCAACTAATCACTGAATAAATCTTTTTTTTTTAATACAGGAATATATTAATTTTTTATACAGTATTGGCAAGATCAAATCTTCAGTCCTGATTTGCTTTTGTTAACAGTGAATTTTAAATGGTGCTCATATATGCAGACAAAGAAAATACATTATCAATACTGCCATTCACAGGTCAAGTCAAGGGTCGATACACCGCTACTTATATCAATATCACATCCTTTCCTATCCTGCACATGTGAATGTTATTTAATATTTACTACAACACACGCAAAGCAGGACCAAAGGTTTGATTTTACCAGTGGCTGTATCGCTTGGAGGTGTTATTAAATTTAGACATTTTTACCTATAGCAGTTGTCAAAAGTCCACCCTATTCGTTTATCTAGATCTAGACCAATTGAGATTGATCTAGTTTAAAATGCAGTTTGTCCATTTAAAGACCACATGCCAAAAAATCATAAAACGAAAGTTTTATTAGATTTCAATCGATCGCCTAGATTGCATGACTCGAAACAACTGAGCACCCTCTTTGCGGTTAGGACCAAGGAATCAAAGATAAAAATAAATATGTAAAAGAGTGTATTTCTCATAAGATTATCTTTTCAACTACATGATACATAACTTTCAATGTCAAGCAAGTTGATAGTACAAAGTGAGCAACCATTAATACTGTTTATTAAAGATTATTTGAGATGAAACTGTTTAATTCACACCCTGTATACTCGCTGAAGTTATTAATTATATTCGAAAAAAATACAAATAATCGTTTTAAATATATTCAGTAATTAAATAATCAAATATAATTCCCTTAATTTACTGTATATAATTTACAAGGTCATAAAGCAAGGTTGTTGTCCCTCTTCCTATCAAAAAGAGTGATAGTTAAACGATGATTCAAAAAACGAATTAATTTTAAAATGTCATGATTTTCTAAGTCTTTGATAGGAAGTAGAACTTTTGAAACCTCGTTTTGAAAGACCCTGTGTGTCAAAACAAACTATACAGTTAGAATAAATTATACCCCGTCAATTTAAATTGATGTTCAAGACATCTACTTTGAAATAATACTAGTTAGTAACTTAAATTTTATAACTTCTACATATATGTACAAATTTGTAATATCCGTAAATATATGTACATTCTTGATAAGTTGAAAGATTGTAAATTAAATTAGATTTCTTTAATCGAAATTCAATTTTTATTCCTTGGTACGTATTTAAGAAAGAAAAAAAAAAAAACAAAAAGATCTGGATATCTAATTTTATACTTCGTATCATTTCAAAACGCATTAAAAACGCAGAGCCTATTTGTTTCAATGTCAGCATACTTTTTTGTTTTAATATAATTCTACTAGCATTGGTACTATCCAAAATGTTCCCATTCATCGCATTTTTCACGTTAAAGACCAAATATTTTGCTATCACTAAAACCTCCACAATCCTTTGCTCAAAATAGAGTCCCTAAGTCAAAAAAGCTTCAGCACCTTACCATATTAAGAGATATCACAAAAGATAATAGCTCAATGGGCCGAGACTTGGTACTATTTTCAAAACGCTGGAGGCTCAATGAGCTCAATCTCAAAGCTCCCAAACTGAATGGCACTTAGCTTAATTTTCTTAGACAAATCTAATATATCTAGAAATTACCCTACACCACGAACTTAACTGGAAAGGTGCTTAGAAAGGCAAAAATAGCAACTTGACTTGAAGCGCTATTGTATATATTCAGACTCTTTCATTTGTACCACACAATGGATTAGGTTAGTAAATAAGAGAAGATCCAGAATTATTAAAACCCTTGAAAGATCCAGTCTTCCTAATGTATGAATCTTGAGGAGGTGATTAAATTCTGGATAGCACCTTTTATTTGTTTTTTGACAATGAGACGGTAGTTTAAGACAAACGATGATTTCAGTGACTCTTTCGCTTTAAAGCAATTGCGCATACTATAGAAAGCAATATATTAAAAGGATACATGTAGGCATTGACACATGCAATACTAAACTAAAGTATCGACCTTGCTAACAAGATATTTCCAACAGTGTACGGAAATAATTAATTCCTCTCATCAATGATTCAAAATATGCAAACAATAAATATATTTTGAGATAATTTATAATTGCATGTTGGTAAATGTTAGAGAAAAGCTAGTAAAGCAAGATCCTTAGATATATAGGAAACATATCCTAAAGCACAAACAAAAATCTGACAATATTCTTATCAACAGTAAGCTGTAGTCAAAGTTGTATGCCTGAATAGTACTTTAAACAATAACAAAAAATTAAAATAAACTCAAAAACGAAGAAAAAAACAATATTTACATACAACATGTCCTAAATAGTTTGCACTAAAAAAACCATTTAAAAAACAGGTAAAAGTTTAAGTATCCTAGTAAGTCAAAAGTGTAGTATTAACAATGATAGTTAAATAAATTTAAAATTGACTTACTCGCTGTGAAGTTTTTTATAGTATATAGGTTTATATTGAGTGACAATAAGACTATGGACACATCAAATTTGGAACAAACCTAGTAGACAATTTCGAATTGACAGAGTTAAACAAAATGACTGACTTTCAGTTTAACTGGAAATGCCATTAACTTTGTTTTTTTAAGTAAATCACCACCCTGTATATTTTTTGTTTTTTTTTTTAATCTACGGGCCAAACTACATATTATGACAGTTTTGCCAAGTTTTCATTTTTCTCAAATATTTTTTTTTATATTATATACAGGGTATTCGGTAAATAATGGACTATACTTCAAATATAGTTAGTTTTGATAAAACTAAGTCAATTTACCTTTATACAATTGTGTTTGCTGAAGAACTTACAGGTAGGAGAAAAATTTTTGATAATTCAATTAATTATTGAATAAATATAACCAAAATTTGTAAAGGTGTTTTTGGGTGATACATTACTTTACATGTACAGGCCGTTTTAAACTGGTGTGCCATTATAGTACTTCAATTTTTTTTAGAATCTAAATTAAAAAAAAATGAATTATTTTAAAAAATCATTAAATTTTCTTTAAAAAGGGTATACTTGCATCATCATTTCAGGGAAATAAAATTATTTCAAATTAAGTTTTTCCTGAAATGACATGCAACAATATATTTTTTTAAAGCAAATTGAATGCTTTTTCAAAATAATTATTTATTTTTTAAAAATGACAATTCTTAAAAAAATCTGAAGTAAATACTATATTGGCACACCAGTTTAGAACGCCCTGTACATGTAATGTAACAAACAAGCTGGTATTCGTTTGTATCACACAAAAAAACTTGTTTATACCCAATTTGGGTATATTTAATCAAAAAATTATTGGAAAAATTATTTTGTCCACTCTGTAACTTCTAAAACAAATGAACTTATTTTTATCAAAACTAACTACATCTGAAGTTTGTCCCATTCTTTACTGAACACGTAGAAGGCCATGAACTGGAAAATAATGTTCAAGTGATGCAGGGTGCACAAAAATTTTCATCTAGAGGCGAAATTTTGGATAAAAACTCAATTAGTTAAACAGGTTCTCTTTCAAGTAAATCGAGGCTATTAGAACAATATTTTCAAGTTTATGGCCTTCTACCTCAAAAAATAAAAATAAAATTTGTTGGGAAAAGGAAAATTTGGCAGTACCGTCATGTATAGAGATTAGGGTCATAAAGATAGGAAATGCTACGACCGCAGAAACGATGGCGCCATCTAGGCGTCTCAGATGTTAACTAAAGGTATACGTCGTTTGTAGACAGACCAGTGTTGCCAAATATTTTTTTGAGAGATCGTACAAATAGAGTAGAAAAATGGTATTTCAAAAAAAAAAAAAAAAAATCGTACAATAGGTACATGTATAGCATAATATAACTTAAATGGAATGAAAAAATAAAAAAAAAATACGCAAAACTTTTAACATTTTTAAAGTAATCAATGACTGTCACTTGAAAGTGATTGAAATTTTGCATGCAAGCTTTTCTTATGCTGTGATAGTCTGTGTTGGTACAAAATCACAATAAGTGAGAACGAAACTGACTGGTCTTCAGAAATTACGAACGGCCTATGAATCTTTGCAAGTAGTTTTTGATTTTTATTCTTTTATGTTCTGAAGTTGTGCAGGTATTTAAATAAACCTACGAAAAAAGTGAAAATCGTATTTTTACGTACGATCTCACTGATGCAATCATACATCGTACAGAGTTAAAAAATCGTATAAATACGATTTAAATCAAACTTTACACTTTCGATGAAACCAGAAGTCACCCATTTTGTTTAAGTATAAGTGTCAATTCGAAATTATGTCTAATAGGTTTGTCCGAAATTTGATCCAAATCGCGTCATAAATGAAATTGATTAACGTGGCCCGGGTCTCATTGTCACTAGGTATCCAGTACGAAAATATTTCAATGATACCCTAACTTACGAACTTCATTTTAGGACATCTTGTATATGATTATAGTACAAAGTGTCACACAAAAGAAAAAAAAATTAAAATTGATCTAAATATGATACATGTTCTACAGTTCTCTTACGATAAATTAACAACATTCTAATAATCAAAGGTCTGCGCTTACCTTTCACCATCGACACTGGCATTATGTAACTGCCTGGGACAATCACTGCTGTATTCGGGATCTTTAAAGCTTCTCCAACGCTTGAATCGGCGATGATTAGATTCCTGGATTGGTTAGTGCAGGGACCACCTTCCGCCAAGATAACAGGTCTTGTGTTAGGTGGACTGGGGTTCTCATTGCTCGATTCAGTTGTATTGACCGAGGTAGAGGCTTGGGATTGTTCATCGTCCGTTACTGAAAGTTGAACAACACCACCTCCAGAACTGTCTTCACTGCCAATCGTCATATCATCAGTATCCATATCAAGTGTGCTACTAGACTGGCCAGATTTCTTAGCACCAGACGAGCTCTTTTTCCGTTTAGAATTTTGACTTGGGTTTGTAGGCGGGTTTGATCTCCTCCTTGGTGCTGGTTTATTGTTAAGATCAGGAGAATTTCTTAATTGTTCCGCGTACTCAGCTAGTATATCAAATATTCTTTGTGTCGTGTGCTCATCTTCTTGAGGCTTTTGCTGAGGTTTTGGTATAGGTGAAGATTTCGTTTGCGAGTTGTTTGTAGTGGTCGTTTTTATGGTTTTGCCTTTTGAGTTTTTGGTGGCTAGTTTTGGCAAGGTAGGCGTTGAAGTAGGCGTCGAAGCAGGCGTTACGCAAGGACTCGAACTTCCTTGGGAAGTTACACTCAAAGCAGGCGATGCTGCAGGTTGTAGACTACTGTATGAAGTTACAACAACGACTGGAGATAACTGGGTATATTTTTGCAATTGATTGACGTATGTTACACTAATTCTTTGTGGAACACCTTCTTGACCTTCAGCATTAGTGCACGTTTCGGAAATGCTAGTGGTGCTTCTTTCTTTGATTTGTTTATAGACCATGTCGAATTCTCGTAATTGTTCCAAAGTGGTCGAGCTCAAATTTGGTTGCTGAGGATTGGCCCTTACAACGTTTGTAGCCATTTGCAATTGAACAGGTTTTACAAGTCTGGCACCTTGGACGAGTGTAGGTCGAACGACAGTTCCTTTGATTTCGTCACTGTTTAGAATGATTTCACCATCAGCATTTTTAGGCCTACCTTGCAATGCCGCTGCTAAAAGTGCACTCATTTTACTGTGTATAACGCTATCTTTAACTAGACCAAGTTGTTCGGCATTGGAAGTAGCAATGCGAAAAACCTGACGAGTTGTAGCAGTACCAGGCGGCAACAAGCTGATAGCCTGCCCAGCAGGGAGCTGTCTACTATAGATTACGCTACCCGGGATAGGTTGCAAATTAACAGGAACAGTTTTTGTTGTAACAGTTTTCTTGACTTCGGTTACAGCGCTGTTTGCTACTTCAACTGTAGTTGTTGGTGAATCAGCAGATTCAGTGCTACTTTGGTAAACTGTTTTGCCAAAAGCTTGTTGGAACTTGGGCAAGGAAGATTTGCAAATGAATTGAAGGATAGTACCACCTTGTCCGGCGGGAACAGTGTTTGTATTTTTAACAACAGCGTTTGTGGTTTTAAGAGTGCTGTTCAGTATTGTCTGTTCGGTACTGACTGCCACCTTTACCTATAAAAAATTTGAATGTCATTGATGAATTTTAAAAATTTAATATACATTTGTAGTCTTCTGATGATTTTTTAAAGTGGTTTTTGTATTGTTTTTTTATGAACACTAAAAAGAGAGCCCATATTATAATTTCAAATAATGACTTTCAAATTAATACTAATGCAAAATGTTTTTGGAATCATTATAATAATATATCGGCCAAAACTGGTATTTATAACCTTTAATCTTCCTAATATTATGAAATCGATGATATTGTTGACAAGTTTTTAATGCAGTTCACATTTTATGTATAGGATAATATTAAAAAATATTTGTTTACACTAAATCTATTTTATTTCTCATGGACTGCAAAATTTTCCTATAGATTTTATAGAATTTTAACGGGCAATAACCTACTGCCCGTTTAATTTTTAATAATAGGAAAAAATATACTATTACAGAGATGAAAGAAATGAAGAAAAATCATCAGGCTTCACCACTTTCCCATTTCCGTTTCTTACAGCAGGAAGGTTACCAAGTTTTCAGTTATTTTTGAAATGATTACAACGTAAGTGATAAGAGTTTAGTACTATGTCAAAATAAACTGATTCAAGCAATCTCGCAATCTCTTATCACTGTCAGTAAAAGTGTCCCACACCGCAATTAACTCATCTAGGATGGATTCAACATTAAACACTTCTTAGGGTTTAAACTTCTTTAGAGGTTCGTACTGTTTTAATCTCCCGTTGGAGATGGTCAAAATGATTTTCCAGAACTAAAAATATTAGTAAATTCGAATAACAAGTTGGTCAACATTGTATCATATTATTTAGAAAAATAATATTTGTTTGGACATTTGAAAATTCAACTTGCTTTTGAGAACAGCAGAATTAAATGTGATTTGCTATTATGATTTAAGTTTTTAAGGAAGTCTATACTGATTACATTTTATTGATTTGAGAGTCAATAACAGGGATTTTAAGGATATATCTATTTTTGGTTTGATTTCATACTCCTAATAACAGTAAGAGTAATTAACTGGGCCCCCTTAAGTATTAATATTTTGTTTAATATTGTCATAATATTATATAATTTACATGATGGCCTGGCGAAAACGTACCACAACCATTATCAGGAACTGCGTCAACATTTTAGACACACGTTCTGACCCGTCAATTTTTTTATTAAAGGGGACATCATACTCTCAACTGTCATACATCACTCTAACCCATACAATTTAAAGCACTGAAAAGGTAATTTTATAGACAAACTATATTTGAAAGCTAATTTTATTAGTAATTTGTTTGTGATCAAAGTTTGTATTTCTTAACGTTACAGCTCTGCAAAATTTTTCAATTACTTAAGTTAATTTTTAATTAAATCGTGTTTCACAATTAACAATGTTTTTTGTACCGATAGAGGGCGCTAAAATCAAAATCAACGCAATTAATAGTCATACTGCTGAATTCTACATAAAATTAGCTTTTTACTAATGACATACTTGGCACTTTTCCTAGTTAAACTGGTTAGGGTAACAGAGAGGAATGGAGTATGGCAGTCGAAAATTAGATAGAAAGATGTCTCCTTTATTCAAAAAATAGGCGGGTTTGAGCGTTTGTAGGAATGGGTTTTTCTTCTTTAAGAATACATACATATTTATTAATAATTAGTGAAGCATTTGTTTTTAACAATTACCAGAAGACTGAAGTATATTTTAATAAAAGAAATAAGTCATAAATTAGTAGTTATATACCTATCTCATGTACTCACAAACCTTGAAAATCAGCAAGAATTTGTTGGAGAGAATACACATTAAGAAAATTGGTATACAATTAGTTTAGAATATCCAAAGCAGTACTAAAATCATTATTACCTTTAACACTAGAATGCTAACCATTTATAAAAACAATAAAAGTGTTCGTCTTTTGTTAATTCGCCTGAATGTCCAATCGCATATAGAGTGTACAATAATTCATTCTGAACCTAAAAAAATATTTCAACGTCTAAAATGTTTTGTTAACTTATGAATTATTATTTTTTTTTTTTAATTACCAGACCAAAATTTACCAAATATGTTATATTTTGTATGAAATTTGTTAGTAAAATTAATTTTGATATACTTTAAACTACGAGGTGTGGCTAGAAAATAAACCGAATGATCGTTCTGCAGACAAAAGGTGAGGGCGTCAAGGTCAAACAAAACAGGAACGTGTCACGTGACATCTCTCTCTATTGCTAAATTGTTCTTGTATCTGTGTTTCGCCTGAAATATGTTCATGTGTTTAAGGATGAGTTTTTATAAGGCACCAAGGTTTCTGAGTGATCAACAAGAAGTGATTGCAAAAGATTAGCACCCAGGACGGTCCTGCACTTCAAAAACCACCAGTTAAGCATTTCGACTGTATTTGAATCACTAGAAATTGAAAAAGAAAGTGTTGGGCAGATTTTTTTAAAACAAAATCATGGTTTCTTCCATCAGGACAACGCTGCAGCTCATACTGCACTGTCCGGCAAGGAGAGCAGAGTACGCCAATGTAACATTACTTGTGATACTTAGAAATTCCGAAGGATGAGTTTTTACAAGGCACTCGGGTTTCTGAGTGATCAACAAGAAGTGATTGAAAAATATTAGCACCCAGGACAGTCCTGCACTTCAAAAACCACCAGTTAAGTATTTCGACTGTATTTGAATCACTAGGAATCGAAAAAGAAAGTGTTGGGCAGATTTTTTCTAAAAAAAATCATGGTTTCTTCAATCAGGACAACGCTGCAGCTCATACTGCACTGTCTGCCAATAGGTTTTAAATTCCAGTATTAAAACCAGAGCTGGGCAGTACCAGAGTACAATCACTCGAATATTGTACTCTAAGTACATTTTGGGTACTCTCAGTACCTGGTATTCGAGTACATTTGCAATAAAGTACTCGGTACTCGTACCCGCAGCATATCGGGTAAAAATAGCCGGTAGCCACGTTCATTTTACATTTTTTCGAGTGCCTTGTTTCCTTATGCAACAATTGTAAACACTTGAACATAACAGTCAACAGAATCAGTGAGTGAAGTGAATAGAATAGGTCGGTACTGATTATTTCGGAGAATACATTTTTTTTACTCATGTTTTATGTTTAATAAATGTGGTTATTAATGCAGAATTTGTGATAACCTCCTTACCCTTTTCTGATTATAAACTAAAAATTGCTGACAAAAATTAGGAGATGGATTCATGTTTTTTCTAAAGTGTGCAAAAAGTAATAAAAGTCAAGTGTTATCATGGTCTGGAGAAAACCCAATATGTTGGGTACATTAGATTTTTTTTATTTGAACAGCCATATATAATTTGAGGCGATAAATTACCACTGGTAGACAGTAGCTTACAAATATATTTGAAAAAAGAACCCATGAAATTTGGGTACTTGTCCTCGGAGTACTGTACTGGACACGATATGCAATGAGTATGATATTCGGTACTCTACTCGTTCTTCAATCATGAAACTCGATACTAGAGTACAATTTATCAGTGCCCGGTCCTGTCCTTATAAGAACACCCACCCGAATCACCGTATCTCGCCTCATGTAATGGTCAAATCAGCACTGATAGGAACCAGATTTGAAATAATAAAGTTGTCTAAGAAAAAGCAGCGGAGACCATAAACAAGTTTTCAAAAGATGCTCAGCACTGCTATGTATATTGAAGGCAATGTTAAAATTGTGAAAATAAAGCAAACGATTTTATAGCACTAAACCATTTATTTTCTAGACACATCTCGTATATTAAGGTGTGTTCTATGTAACTCTTACACGAAAATGATTCCAAATTAAAATATAATAATGAAACAACTGTCACGCCATGTTGAACTATTAAAAAAAATATATTTACAAAAATACAGCAATACCATTTCCAAAATAAAAATGGTCAAATGCGTATTGGACGCCAAATTGAATTTACTGATGATGGGAAAGCTGAAGCATTAATTTGCATTTTAAATGTAGCAAAGAAAAATAGAAACGTTAGGAAACTTCTTTCGAATCTTGATATTATCTGTATATGTAAGATTACATCAGAAAGCAACATTTTTATTAGGCAGCATGCATGCAAAGACTCGTTTCACATTTAAATATTCGATATATTTCTCCCAGGATGTAATTCACCCTCTGTTAAAATAAGCAAGCAAATGAACTTCCCAAAAAGAGATATAGTGTTTTTAATACCCAAATGGAAGTTTTAATCATTGTTTTTAGTAACTAACTTTTAGTTACTAAATTCATGATGTCAAGAAGTTTAATCAATGACAAAACACAAATTAGTTTAAAAGCTAGCGGCCGCAAGGTGTTACGATCGTACCTCAAGCTGGAATTTTATTAAGAAGTTGGCGGGAACATCAGGAAGTGTCGTCGGCAAGGATTTAATTCAGAAACTCTGCATAAGAAACGTCAGACTTTTAAAAAATATTGGCTAAACAACGATCGTACTTTCAGCCGAAAATTTACATATCATCTCTTTGAAGGTCACAGATGAGGTATGAAAATCGTCACAAGGCTAGACGACTGCAAAAGGAGTGTCAGACGCTCCTAATTTTGTAATTTTTTGTTGAAATTTACAATACACATTTTTGATAGATAACTTGTTTGACATAAGGATCACATAGTTAAGTATTCAACATGGATTCAGCTTTACATTTGGCGACCGAGGCAGGGCCGACGAAAGGGGGGTAGCCAGGACAAATTCCGGGGCCCGGGATCAACTGGGGGCCCAGCAGCGGCATAAGGGGGGCCTGGCAGTTTAAGGTGCAGACGTTTTTTTTAGAAGTGCGTGACAAGAGAGGATCTTTTTTTTAGAGATTTCACTAAAGAGGAGGAGCAGTTTGAAGAATTTTTTTAAAAATGTGATATTGAAAGACCTTAATTTTTTTATAAAATTTGTCGCGGGGCCGGCCCTGGACCGGGGTTCATTTCCCAATGCAAGCAATTTTATTTGTTTTAATTTGGATTAAAATTGAGCAAATAATTAATTTTGTTGTTTATTTATTTTAAACATATTTTATTTATCATAATATAACCCCTACAATCTATTAATCTTTCCACTATTTAATTTGTACTATTTTTTAATATTTTTTCTGAACCGTAATAGTACAAAATAAATAGTAGAAAGATTAATGGATTACCTAAATGTATGGGTTATATTATGATAAAATGTATTTAAAATAAATAAACAACAATATATATTTTCAATTTAAAAATTTTTACAATATAAAAGATTGCTTTCATCGGGGGTTGAACCCCGGTCGCGAAATGCATGTTGAATACTTAAATATGTGAGCCATGGAAACTTTTGTCAAGTCAGTTATTTAATCAAATAAGTGTATTCTAAATTTAAACAAAAAAATTACAAATTTGAGGTGGTCTGACAGCCCTTTAGCAGTGGCCTAGCCTTCTAACGATTTGCATATCTTATCTGTGACCTTCAAAGAGGTGATATGTATATTTTTAGTCAGAGGTACAATCGTTTTTTTAATCGATATTTTTTATAACTTTGAGTTCTCTGACGTCTATTTTGCAGGTTTTTTAAACTAAATCCTTGCTAAGTACATTTCCTGATGGTCCCTCCAACCACTTCATAAAATTCCAGTCGGACACAAATTTTTCGTCGGGCGCCATTTTTTTCGGACCAATTTCGTATTAGGGGTTTCCGGGCGACTTTAAAAAATCGTACCGTCCGAAAGGATAGATCGAATTTAATGAAACTTGCCCCGAAGGTGTAACCCACGAGACGCTTTAAAAAAAAACAGCGTCAAAATCTGTTTGGCGGTTTCCATGGAAACCGCGAAAAACCATCCAAAATCGTGTTTTTTGACCGCCTGCACCCTTTTCCGAGAATTGTGTTACTGGTAGATGCTCAAGACATGTGAGGTGACTATAGGAAAGTTTTATCTGTCACCTGTCAATTGTCACTTTTTTATGACGTTTTGAAAATTTCTTTATCGTTTTCGACGGTTTATTAAAACCAAATATTTTTAATATTTTTCCTAAACACCCTTTGCTCCTCTCTACCTCACCACGCACACAAATTTTTCGTCGGGCGCCATTTTTTTCGGACAAATTTTGTACGAGTGGTTTCCGGGCGACTTTGAAAAATCGAATCGTAACGGATGGACTGATTTCGATGAAACTTGGCCAGACGGTGTAAACCCAGCGTTGAAATCCGCTTGGCGGCGGTTTCCATGGCAACCGCGAAAAACCACCCAAAATCGTGTTTTTTGACCACTAGCTCACAGTCTAATTTATTTTATTTTGTAGTGGACTGTTCATAAATGACAAATAAACATGACATACACTAATAAATGTATATAATTATTGTTTCATACACTATGTCAATGCTAAAGAGAAATGGAACTATTCTATTGGGTACTAAAAGTACTATACCTTATATTTATTGAATATTAATATAAATATTAAAGGCCACAAAATAATTTGTCATATATTTTAAAAAACTGGTAGACATCTTATTTACCTCACATATAGAACGCCACCTGTTTACATTGCAAAGTACTTAGTATGTTAGTATGTAAATGAATGGTTAGTTTTCTAGGATTAAAGTTAGACCACTACAAATGGTACCTGATGGAAGTGATGAATTTTAATTTTTAATTATGATAACTGACCAGTGAAATACCCTAATCAATTATTAATCTGTTACACTAAGATGTTATTTAAGTTTATGTGAAATTACGACTGTAACTGTTTTAATAACTGACTAGATTATTTGCCCTTCTAACTTAAAGTTGATCACAACAATCAATGAATCCAATAAAATCTATGAAACGAATGATTTTTCATTCGTTTTAAAGGGATAATATACTGATAAGCTCAATGCACTAGGCACATATACAACATAAAGAATTTTTTCAATGCAAGACGCATCATGTACTGATAGTCACAAAGGTACCTTTAAAGTAATGAGATGGCTCTATGTCTAGTGGATTGAGCTTAAATGTATGCCAATATGTACCGTAAGCAGATATTAAGTTAGTATTAATGATTAACACTAGTTAAGGTTTGTTTGCGTTAAAAATACAAAACTGTTTCGAATATGCACAGAACTAGATGAGCAATAAATAAAGACTGTATTGGATTAACTACAGAGTCTTCACTTAACTAAATAATTGGTTAAAAGTAACATTAATAAGTTCAGTAGTAACTCTAAAACAATGCCACTGACCTAATGCGTAAGTTATCATAAAAGTCACTAATAACGGCCATTTTCATAAAAAATTTGTTTCATCAGATCATGTGGAATACCAGTATTGTTGAAGACTCGCTATAACATATTCGTTTCAATTAACAAGAATGTTATCACATTTTTAATCTTAACATAATTATTGAAATGAAAATTGTATCTGAAATGTTTGGAAATAGTCTGAAATAAAATAAGCTCAACAATACAGTAGATACATCATCATAGAAATGAATAACAAAAGCGCAGTCAAATAATCCTGGCCTGTTCTTGTAGACTGGGATAAAATAAATAAAACTGTTTAAAACCCAAAAGATTTATTGGAAATGCACACGTGCAGAACAGTTCCAAGCTGTCATTTTCATTAACACAAACAAACCTATATAAATGTTAAATAATCCCTCAGCTGACTGTAAAGTGTAGCACATAGATTGTTTTGCCCACACTTTATACTTAGCTGCAGGGGAGAGAGATGAACCAGTTGTACTATTACCCGACTGTGGGAGAGGTCATGTGACCTGTGTAATTCAAAGTTGCGTATTGATGGATTTTGCTTCTTTAACAGATGTGACCTATATAATTCCAGACATTGAGAACTATGAAAAACGTATTTTTCAAATTCGGGGTATAGCTTGAACGCGGTTTTTCTGAATCTAAAATGATATTGTCAGCAAAAGCGTTGATATACAAAAAATAATTTTGTAACTTTACAAAAAGTGGTCTGTTCGAAGAGGTTTAATTGCTTTTAAAATGTGTGGATGACTCTCAAACTAAGAGCATTGCCCTTATGGATATTTATTTAGTAGTTTTATTCTAAATCAGCCTTCTCACTCGGATTTTAGTCAAAATAGTCTAATTTATAGCCGCAATTTGCTTGATTTACAAAAACAAAACATCAAAATATTTTTCGATGCCTAATAGGGGTGCATAAAAGGTGGATATTTTAAAGTAAATTTCTTTTTTCGTCACAGGATGCACAACACACCATGTGACAATTTGTAATCTTCAGATTCAAAAAAATTCGACGCACTATTCTTGCTAATAACTAATCACATCACAGACAATATTCAGTTCTCGATGACTGTTCTTGACGATTTTTACGGAAACATTCACATCTGACTCCCGATTCTGAGACCGCCATCTCAGTGTTGATACCACGGTGTCAGAATCGAAAGTGCATCGTAGACTGTACTTATTCAGTAATGACAAAATAGTGTTTAATACATGGCTTGAGGCATGACTCACCAATTTGCATCATGGTATCAGATGGTGAATGGCATAAATTAACCAATAGATTCATGGTACCGAAGGAGTTATGAAAAAGGGAACTGAGGAGGTAGGAGTGAAGTATAAAATATTTGTAATTTATAAGGTTAAAGATAAAATAATCCCAGATCTTTTTGGAAATATATTAATGACAAGAAAAAATATTACAATTTACCTTCTATTATGACATATAGTAACTTAACAAGTAACAAATCACACATTACTGACATAAAAGACAGAATACAGGAAAAAATTTACATACCGCCTCCTCAGCAATACAAACCCCACTGAATAGCCAAATCACTAGGACGTCTTGAAAACAACTTCAGTCGGACGGAAGACTGCTCGGTGACGTCATCGCCTGGTACCGAAATCAGGCCTGCCACGATTTTTGTGTTGGGCGGTGGAGTTATCGTGTAGGTCAGTGTTTTGGCTATCTCATGCACGTAAACTTACTACAGAACGCACATACATTCAAGGACAACCCTGTTTTGTCAATCCGTTTTTCAGGGAAGACAGACAAAAGTAAAATCTGACAAAAACTTACCACTTTACAACTACCGATCTAGTTAGCAGCCACAACTGACTTATAATGCTTTTTAAGTAAGGAGAGGTCACGGAAATCATTAATATTAAATAATAACTTTTAATCACACGGCCAAGAAATCGGTCATGGCCTCGCCTGAGGTCTTCGCAGTTAGGAATACTTCCTAGACGCAGTTAAACACATATGTTGCTAATTGTTATTATACCATTTTCAACAAAACCTTTTTTGTTTTCACATAAATAAATAAGGAGTTCCGGTCACGTGGACGGAATCTACACCGGAAGTATCAAAACCGGACAATAGAAAATGTACAACTTGTTCATCCCCTTCTCCTGCACCAGACTAAAAAAAGAGCCACTTTTTGCAGTCAGCTGAATGACTATTACACCAACCACAAGAAGGAATATAATAGAAGCAATGCAATTTAATATATATTTGCATTTTAAAAATGAACGAAACTTCTATAAACCTTAGTTTTAATAGAAGATGCATTTATTTGTGAGTACACCTCAGACAGGTTAGTAAAACTAATAGAAATCGTGCAAATGATCCTTACCTGATTAGCTTCTATCGTTGTTGGAGTGTTGTTAGCGGTGCTGTGGACGACAGCTTTGGCAGTGACCGACGGCCTGACGATTTGCTGCGACAGAATGTTGATAAGCGGCCCTTGTCGACGGACTGCGTTTGTTGCGTTACCAACAGGTCTAATAATCTGCTGTGAGAGTATGTTGATCAACGTAGACGGTTGAGTAGAAGTCGTTCTCGAAGTAGCACTTGTGGTAGATGATGTTTGAGTTGTAGAAGTAATGGAATTTGAATGCTCCGGTTTTTGCTCGACAACCCTGGGCTGTCCTATCCGTTGGATATGAGGCGTTACTTGAGTGCTGGTTTGCGAATTCTGAATCGAGACCGTTTGTGTTCCTCTTCCTCCAGAAACTTGCACGACATTTACCACCTGGGGTACACTCATGGGTCTGATCATTTGAAAATCGTTAAGTCCCGGAATGTTGGATAAAACTGATTTAAGATAAGTCTTTTTGATAACCGGAGTCGTGTTATCTGGCGATTTTCTATTATCAGAGACTTTTACAGAACATAAGCAATCGGTTTTATTTTCATCTACTACATCTGGTTTGTTGAGATCACAACAAACTTTTGTATTCAATTGGGAATTAACCCTTAAGTTGACGTCTTGTAGCGGTGAAAAATTGTGGCTTTGTACTAGATTTGGTGCTTTTCCGACTTTATTTTCAGACTTATCCAAACTCTTACGCCTTCTAGAATATTTTGGAGGAGTCTTTCCTCTATCACATTTTTGTTTGATACTAGGATTTTCTTCCTTATTTGATGTGCACTTTCCATCATTTTTTTTATTTGAGGGCAGACGACACAAAATAACTTTCAACTCTTTAGTTTTGGTCGGGGAATTTTGTACATTGGAATGTAATTTTTCAGTACTATTTATAATATTTACATTTTTACAAACATCTAATACATTAACACCAGTCAGTGTTTTAACACAGTCTTTATATTCTTCAAGTTTTCTTTTTGATTTCTTTGTGTAAGTTCTAATGTTTTCAGTCAAATTTATATTCTTTGGTAATACTTCTTCTGGATCATTATTTTCTCTACATTCATTCTCACATTTAACTGAAATCAAATTATCACCATTATGATAAAATAAATCGTCTGGATGCGTTTCAAATAAATCTGAAAAAAGTTCGAAATCTGAATAAATTGAAACAGGCTTAACTTGAGCACTTTCCACGGAATTTAAATTTTCAACATTTTCATTATTATTTCCATCATTGCTTTTAATGTTTACAGTTTCATCACCGTTAGTCTTACAGTTGCTTTTATTATTGCACATTAAGTCAGCTTCATTAGAGTCACTGTCAACTGTAACTTCAACGTCATCATTTTTGTTTGTAGTATTCGAGAAATTGTAAGAACTCCTCTGCATCTGATAATCCTCCTTGGTTTCGAGTTTGATCAAGGTCTGGGAGATTCTGGTATTGCCTATTTGTTGAGGCTGTTGGTGAGGAAGCAGTAATGGCTTGTCCAATTTGACTTGTGGATTGTCGAGACTGACTAACACTGACTCCCTGAGTGGTTTGTCCAACTTTGTTGGTGTCTGGATTTCTGTAACCAGAGACGTCTGAAATGTTGGATTTTGTGGTGGTATTTTTTGTTTGGGATCCACCAATTCCGTATGATCGTCTGGCTTGTGCTTGGGCATTTGAAGATTGATTTGGTTGGGCTGTGAAGTCAACAACCTGTCTAAATTGGGACAAAGATTGGGAGCTTTGGGCAAATTGCAAAAGCTGTTGTGCAATGAGCTCCTGCTGATTGATACTTTGAGTTGATTTACTTCCATGACCTTGCTTTGTGTTTGGATTTGCAATGACTGAGATGTTGGGTTTTGGTGCTTGCTGGGAGAACACTGGTTGTGTTTGATCGGCTGACAACTTTCTTTGCTGACTGACAGTTTTTCCTGATGTTGACTGTATAGTGGAAGTGTATGTTCTTGAAATAGGGGACTGGGCACTTTGCTGCATTGTAGAAGTTGTTTTTCCGTACTGGCCAAATGATTGTGTTGCTGTTCCAGATTGGAAGACTGTACTAAATTTAGTTGAGGCTGTGGCAATTCTTTGATTGACTCCTGATTTTGTTTGCAAGTTAGCAGTTTGGAGCAAATTGGTTGAAACGTTTCCTTTTGGATTTGTTCCTGATTTTGATTGCTGACTAGTTGGTTGGAGCAATTGTTTATTAAGGATTCCAATTTGGTTGGTTCCAGATTTTGATTGCTGGTTGGGGAACAAATGGGTTGTTGAGCTTCCTGCTTGATTTGCTCCTGAAGCAAGCAAATTGGACTTGCTGGTTCCTGTTTGATTTGCTCCTGAAGCAAGCAAATTGGACTTGCTGGTTCCTGTTTGAGTGAGTGTGCCTGTGTATTGGTTGCCTGAAAGGATTGATTGGTTGATTTGAGGCATGTTACCAAAGGTATGGGACTGTGTTGCTCCTGATTGACTTGTTTTAATTGCACTAGTCGTTCTTCCAACAGTAATTCCTTTTTGGGAGATTGACTGGAGCAATTCTCTAACTGTTTCTTTGCCAGTGGTTCGCTTTTGATGTTCAGTCGCTTTATAGGAATCTGTAGTACCCTGTTTTGAAAAATGTCCTGAGCTTTGTTGGGCAATTTCTGTTCTGGCTGTAGCTGTTGTTTTGAGTGTGGGTTGGGACATTGAGAGGAGAAGTTCAGCAATTTTCCTTGACTGTTCACTTGCAGTGGTAGTTGATGTAAATTGATTGAACACTTGACTTGTGCTTGCTGTGGCTTGGTCAACTGTGACTGCTTGTGTTCCCGAGTTGTAACTGGATTGGCTTGAAGCATGTCTACTTTTATCAGATGTACAAGTAGCTGATTGGAACTGCTTATTTTGCTCGTTTCTGATATTGGAATTAAGCTGGGCATATCCCTGACTGGACTGTTTTCCATTTTTTGCGGAGACCGCCCCTGATGGTGCAGCATAGAACTGTGTTGAAAGAGATTGACTCTCAGATATTTGTCCACTGTTTTGGATTGTATATTCAATAAGGGCGTTGAAGTCTGCTGTGCTTGATGATGGACTTGGCTGGCTGGTAATTTTTCTGGTTGTTCCAGTTTGCAACATAGCATTTGTTGACTGCATAATTCTTTTTGTAATTGCATCTGGTTGGTTGTCTGCATGTTCGAAATATGTGTTTTTACCAGAGATTTGCTTGATGGATTGATCACCGATGTGTGTTGCACTTGTGTGTTTTTGGACTGGTGAATTGAATTTGGAACCTGAATTAACTGATTTGCTTGAACTTCTTGGAGCTGATCCATTTTGGAATCCCCTTGCTTGTTTGTTGGTAGAGTTTGGTTGAAATCTATTTGAGGAATGCTGACTACTAGTGCTAGTTTGGAGGCTTCCGGAGGCTTTCTGCTGTATACTTTGAGCTGCGATGTAGGAAGACGAGACTCCTGTATTAAGCTGTTGGGTATGTTGCAACTGTTGTTTTCTTTCAAACCATTCAGCGAGAACTTGTTTGGTATTTTGACTCGTAGATCTTTTTTGACTTTCTTTTTGCAGACCTGCTTGTGCAGCGCAATTTTCAGCAGAGAAGGAATTTCTTTCTCCTGTGGAGAGTAGCTGAGGTGTTTGCGGTTTACTTGGATTAAAGTGTTTTCCTTCCTCGCCACTTGCCCACCAAGTAGAGGCAACGTGGCAGTCTTTACGTTTTTTGAATGAAAATCCATATCACCCGTGTCATTCATACAGCTGCTTGTGTTTGGATACTGTATCGCTGCAATCTCTGTATTGACTCCATTCAAAAGTTGATTTAAAGTCTTAGAGGCTTTGGTCTCCACATTGTCTGGTTCAACAGAAGCAGCAGCAGCAGCATTTAAATCATTCGAATCAGGTTTAAATAATTTTTCTGGAGTCCCTTCTCCAGTATCTTTATCTCTAACCCTCTTCAGATTATGACGGAACATTCGTAAACTTTTAAGAGTGTTAGGATCAGACTTTGCTTGTACTGGAAGCATTGGAAAGTAAGGACCTTCTCCTGCACCATCACTGCCTAGGCTATACGGTCTTGAATCTTGTGACATTGAATCTTCACTATTAGAAGTAGTTTCTTCATCGGATACGAAATCTTGATCCAAATACTGTTCGTAACCCCTTTCAATTCCATCCATTTCATCAAGAGGCTCTCGTTTAATACCTTTAAATATGGAGTAATCAATATCTACAAACTTCAATTCGGTGACAATATTTTTCGTAGCTTGAGGATCTTGCAGATACATCACACAAAGCCTATGCAAATCATCCCAAGGCAAAAACCAACTTAATATCTGATATCTAGGATTTGATAGGCATACAACAAGATCATCACACAAAGATTCAGAAATGCCTAGTACAGAATTTTGTAAAGCTTCGTTAAGAGCCATATTAATTTTGATAGGTACATTAAACTCAGGCTTTGACATCCAATCCCCACATTCTGGACACACCCAAGTAATTTCATCAGACTGTGAGGTAGGTGGATGTAATTTACACTTCCACTCCTGGCCGGTGTCCAGTAATTGGAACCCACTTCTTTTCGCTAAATTCTCAATACATTCTAGACGGTCCTTAGTTGGTTCTAAACTAAAAGCAGTTAAAACACATTCTCTCGCTACTTTAACATGTTCATCTAGAAAGTCGGCTAGATTGCAAAAGGCATCTGCCAATCTCGATGTAGTAGCGGACGCCTTTTCTAATTCGTTTGCATCTTTTTGACGTTCCAGTTCATTCATATCAGTCGTTAGCGCTCGTATGTACATCTCAATTACCAACGGTTTCAGTGGAGTACCAGCCTGTAATTAAATATATTTATTAATTTTACTCATCCAACAGTTTACATCAATTACAAGATAAACAAATCTTGAAACTATGCAAAAATTGGAAATAATTGATATTGGTCCCAAATTTTTAATATCTGATTTTTCTCCGTTTTCGTAAAAAGGGTACAATTTGGATAATTTCCATATTTCAGGTATCATTGAGGTCTTTAAACAGAATATTTAGTAACATGCAGAATGAAAGCGTCAAAATACACGCATCTTTTAAAATAAATACAGGAATGGCATCAGGAAATGTAGTTAGTTTCTGTTTAATTTTCATTAACACTTCTAGTACTTTTGATTAATCAAAACTATTTATATTAAAGATAATTGATTCAGGCGTTACCAAATCCTATAAGTTGAAAGTAAGATTACTGGCAGGCATTAATAATATGAATGCAAGAAAAAATCATCAATTATGCATCTAATATCCATTGTGTATCTAAAAATGCACCATTGTACATCATTTCATTGTTTATAAATGCATAAAATTTGCTTTAATATCAGTCTGAGTTTATTTAAAGGTGTCTGTCAAATATATCACATATTGTGTAAGGAAATAAGATCAAAACAGTACTTACTTTTCTTTGAATAACAGCACAAAAAATATATAGTCCAGCGGCATCAGCTAAATTGCTTATTCTTCTGATCGATGTTGAAAAATCATGCAATAGTGCTTCATTATTGCACAGAGAAATATAAATTTCAATATAGTTTTCTAGAAAATCCTTCATATCTTCAGTGTATTTAACCACAGCTTGCGAAATATACAATTGTCCCGCTAAGATCGCTATTCGATGACAGTTTTTCCAAATTTTTGATATTTTTACACGCTTTTTCGCGAATCTCTTTACCAGCTGGAGGCCCTCATCAAAAGACAGTTCCTTTAACTAAAATAAAAGTTACAGTAAGAAAAAACCACTAATGTGCTCAATTTTACTCACCAAGATAACGATTTTTTGCTTTTCCTGAAATTTGTACAATAACGCAATGTAAATATCAAAAATGAACCACATCTGAGTTTCTGTAGCATTGAGGCTGAAATTCTGCGTTTTTGATAACTTATTACAATTCATAAATGCCGTAACTAAATTTAGCGCTAAATCTTCACAATGCGATTCACATAGTTTTTTCAATCTTACTGATACCAGGTAGGCTGTTTCCACACAAAAAAATTCTATTTCTGAAAATAAAACGATTTGGTCATGAAATATGTCCGGATCAATTTTAATAAATTGTCTTCATTAAGTGAACCAAATAAATTAAAAATCTAGACAAACTGTAAATTACCTTCTGTACTGATTTCTGCATCTTTTGTTTTCATAAGTTTCATTAAAACTGGATCCTCCCAAGGGTTTTTTACTACATCTGCTAATTTTTTACAACGCGTTGCAAACGCACTATTTAGTTTAAGGAGTTCATTTTGAGCTTTTTCGATTTCATCTAATAGCTTTGGCTGGTACGTTGCTGGAAGAATGAACAAATACAAAATTGAATAAAACAACAAAACTTTTTTAACATTAATAAAGTATTACAGTATGTATGGGCCACAAAATAATACTGAGACATTCTTTTACCACATACGATGTGTGGCTAGAAAAAAACGGACTGACCATTCTGAAGAAAAACCGTGAGGAAAACGAGCGTATCACGGTGACACCTTCTTTCTCTATTGATATCATCGTAAAGGTTGTGATTCTCTTCATTGGCCATAGCCTTGTATCTGTGCTCCACTGGTAATATGTTCATGTGATCAAGGAGAGCAAAATTAAGTGTTAAATTCCTTGTGAAACGTATGCTTTAGTGAAAGAAAGATATGGTGATATGTGTTTATCAAGCACTCAAGGTTTTGAGTGATCAACAAGTGATCACAGTTGATTCGCCCCCAAGACGATCTTGCACCTCAAAAGCAGACGCACATTGGGTCTCAAAATAGCAAAAATAGTCTATTTTTTTTTTAGAAAACGGTTACTTAGAAATGGTAATTTTGGTACAAATTATCCGCAAGTGAAACCCTATTTTTGATTTCATGTTTTTAAAGGGTAGAGATTACTAGCCTCAGTTTTTACTTCTTTCCGAACTTTTTTCTTTAACACGTTGAAGACCGCATTGAAAAATCTTATTTCTCACATAGGGGCCGGCATTTTTTTTATTGTTAATTACGTATATTATTTTTTAAATATGTTTTTAGTGTACAATAATTTGAGGTAGACATTATTTAACCCCTAGATTTATTTCAATTAATGTACCCACGGGTTATCACCCGGTTCCAACGTGCCAAATTTACTTTCGTAAACCGCATGCCCACCGGTGAGTCAAGTTTATCTTGCACATTCTAGCTTTGACGAAACTAAATAAGTTGTAGCACAAATATTGAATATAATATATTAAAAGTTGTGTTCTAATGATTTTTATTTTACCTTTAAAATCTTAAAAACTCGTTAATTTTGTTAGATTTAAAAAAAAATCGTTTTAAAGTGAGGCTATGTCAAATTAACTAAGTCAGCTATGCACTAGTTTAGTGATGTTCCACTGACAATTAAAGTGACAGTAGATTTTTTGAATCCGTTTTGTTCGTTTTGTTTAGCTAAATTATATAGTTTTTTCACTTTTATAAATATATTCCTAAAGTAGATAACATGTAACAAATATACAATTGTTTAGTTACCAATTACATACCTTTAAACTATTTTTTATGACATGTAAACAATATTTTGAAATAAAATAAAAACAGTAAAAACGTATATGTCAAATTTATTGATGTTTTTGTTAAAAGTTTGGTTAGAATTAAATGTCAGTGGAACCAAAATGACATCACACTGAACTAGCGCATATGCAGTATCTCTTCGAGGGACCAGCGAATGAACTACTGTACATAAATTGAATTTAAATCATGCCCACCGGTGTACAAGCGATCCCCAGGCAGGTAAAACATTTCGTGTGCCCACCCGTGAGCACGCGGGCCGGTAATGTTGTTGCGGAGTGACCCACCGGCGGGCATGCGGTCTTTAACGTGTTAAAAGACCATTCCAACAATTTAGAAATTTTTTATTTGTAATTTTTTTGTACATTAAACAGTTTACGTACAAAAAAATAAATTCTAAAGGCGTCATCGGTTACTGCAAAAAGTATTAAGCGTCTGGTATTGTTTGTTTTGTCACATTTATGTCAAACCGTTTTCAAGAAAGAAAAAAATCTTATAATTTTTTCGTCATTTTGAGACGTATTTCTCGACAGAGAGAACCCAAATTGCAACATTTTTTAAGAGGAATATGGTTAGTAGAACCCCTTTTAAAATATTTAAACATCATTATGGAATCCCTGTATATCATAAAAATGCCACTGTTGTGAAACTAAATATGTTCCTTTTTACTGGTAAATATTTACTATTAATGTTTTGGCTTGAAGCCAACAAGATTCTTTATGTTGAATAATTCTGATTAGTAATAAGGTATTTCTCGAAATATTATAGATCGAAAATTTCAAAAAAACAGATTACATAGTACCTACAGACATATAGTTTTATAAATTTACCAAAGGACAAAATTTTAAACATTTAATTTATTTTTACAGAAGCTAAGTTTTTAGCCTTTTGTTGCTACATAAATAAGAATATTAGGTAATATACAGGATGATCTACTTCAAAATGTTGATATATAGACCCTTTTCTTTCTTTTTACGACATCCAAAAATATATATTTTGCATTAAAATTTACTTTGACATGACTTTTTCACATTCACACAGGTGTGTGGCGGCGCATGCTACAAAAATGCAAATATAATACCCGTAGGTAAACAGTACCATTCCTTTCTCATTAAACAATATTGTGTAGTAAATAAATGCTAACGAAATATTCCATAAATCTCATTTATGTCATAATAAAAATTGCATTAAACTTATAAGAAAACCTAACAAGTTAATTATTGTGATAAACCCCCTAGGCCATCCCTGATAGAGTTCAGGTTTCCTACCAGTTCCCCCATTTAGCTAACCTATCTTTAGAAACTGGCAACATTCGCGCGACTTAAATACTGGTGTATTTTACATCTTTGGTTTCTTTAATCTAAGGTTGATCCGAAAAAAAACATTAGTTGGGTAGGTTTTTATAAAACAAAGCCATGGTTTCTGCACTGCAGTGTCTGTCAAGAGATTTTTGGACAAGTATTTAGATCCCTTTATTAGAACCTGCCCTAATTACCGAATCGCGCCTCATGTACTTTTTGACTATCCAAAACTGTATGGAACCAATTTAATACAGTAGATCTGTTAAAGAAAAAGCGTTGGAGAAAATGGAATGTTTTTAACACGTTAACTGCCATGTGTATCATTTCTGGAAACAGCTCATTTTAACTGTGCACCATATGTACCTTAAGAGGACACATGTATTATAAGTTTCTCGGCCGTGTGTACATGTTATGGCCGTACTTAGCATTGATTTAAATGCATGTATCGTCCACTAATAAACCACTTTGTAAAAACTAACTTGCGTGGCCCACAGGACCAGGTAAAAATTTTTTCCATTGTTGGCCTGGCAGTTAACGTGTTAAAAAATGATTAACAGCACTGCTATGGCCAATGGAAAAATTGCATATGGAGTGGTGTAGGTATTATGGAGGTACATTTATTGAAGACGATGTTAAAAATGCGAAAAAAATGTAAACGATTTTATTTCATTTTTTTTTTCTAGCCACGCCTTTTTCCTCAAGGATTAGCATTTGATATTTCTCATTATTCTACCTAGTTATTTTCATCGAGTTCATAAAATCATTGCAACAAAAACATTTAAAGATAATAAAACATTTTTTTATCATAAACCAATTAACCCAGTCATTGTATTAAAATCTTTTATTTATGGTCCCAAAAATGTTAATGCACTATTTCAAATATGTAACTATTGAACAGATTACCTTATCTCAATTTTTATTTCCTATTAGTATTCAGGGAGTCACAATCTGAGTCATTAATTCTAAAAATAGTTCAATACATAGTGTATGGGTTTCAAAATAAGTTTTTATTAAATTGCTATTTGAGGAAAAAAACTATTTTTATGAATTTATCAATATCGAAATTTTATGTTTAAATTAAAACATAATTTGGGAAAAATTAGCGTACATATGCACTTCATATAAAATCAAGGATTCATATTTTCAAACATTCAATTGTATTTAGTTATAAACTAATTAAATGAATCAAATATTTCTAACTAGGTAATAGAACAGTTCCTGGTATAGTTTTTGTAAACAAATTGTTAATTTGCAATGGTGATTTCCTGAATTACCAGGCGTATTTTAATAATAATCACTTTATTACTCTAAAAAACAATAATTCAGTTTCCAAGTACTTTCACTGCATGTCAATTGATTGCTGTCATTATTTAGTAATCTAAGAAAGGATGTTCTCAGGGCAAAAGGGCCTGTTATTAAGTCTATGACTGATTCGGCACCCAGTAATTTTCTAAGAGGTTTTTTTTGTGGAACATTTCGCTAACAGCAGTGCAAACTTGGCTATTTTCATAGAAAACTGACTTACAAAAAACTGGACCAAAATAATATGTCTCCATATTCTAAAAAGTCCAAAAAACGTTTCTTCAAGCAAAATACCAAAAAAAAAAAAAAAAAAAAAAAACATTTGGGTAAAAAAAAATCCACACAATAAACAAACTTTATTAAAATAAAAATAAATGTAAATAAAATTAACTGAACAAAAAAACTATAACAGTTGTCATATTTCGATTTCAGGCTCTAAAATTTTTTTCTGAAATCTACTAGACAAAATACATTTACGCAAACTACTAAAAAGGATAATTAAATTAAAAATAAACAATAAGGGCTTACTATAGCTACAATGGAGATAGAAGGACTATTAAATTGGCAATACCTTTTCTAGTAGATAAAAAGCTATTCCCAAGTTCTTATTTTAATAGCCTAATTTTTATTTTTCTATAAAACCAATAAATCAATCTGAATAAAAGAAATAATTATGTCCTTTGATATTTCACTAAACAAACTACCACTAGCAGCTTTCTTATGAAATTTTAATTATACCTTGGGCAGCAATATTTAATGTAAGGAATTGATTTGTGTTAAAGTACAATCACACATTTTCTGTCCATGGATTTCCACACCAATCCTTTATATATATTTTTAATTACTGGCATTTCCAATACTGTACCTCTATTAGTAAAATAAGTCGGTTTATTTGATTGGTGATGTATTATTTAGATTAAACAAAATAAGTATATGTAGGATGTAATTTAAAATAGAGAAATATTTATCAATATATCAAAAGTTTTTATCTATGTTGGTAAAAAATATAACATAAATGAGGGTCTCCCTCACTATGACAAATTATGTCACACTTGGTAGACCCCTTTGTATAATTAGTCAATTATATTATGGTGTTCTTACATGTGTTATTCTTTTTAATACATCCAATATAATTTATAAAAAGACAAACATGTATTTGCAGTACAATCATTAACTATGAGAAAATTATACATATCATTAGGAAAACATTAACAGTTCAAAAAATTAAAGTAAGGTACGAATTTATTGGCCAATCAAAAAATAAATGATGGCTTATTTATGATCTTGAACTAAACAAATGAAAATAAAAGTATACATTAAACATGTAAGTACACACTTTAAGAAAGGAAACTAGAATAAAAAAATGGATGATGTAAAAACAGAAGAGAATGCTTGAAAGGAGATAAGCCAATGAATAAAAGAAAAAAAGATATGCTATGGTCCAAAAAGTAAAACGACTACATACATTTAACACAGTAATAAATAATGGAAATGCTAAAAACGGAAAAAAATGGTCTTTTTTAAAACGCCACCAATATTTTATTTTGAACTGGTCAAAATTTAACTTCTCAGAGAAGAGCTGTTACACAAGAGAATATCAATCAATGGTTTGAGGAAATTGCGAGATATTTAAAGGAAAAGAAAATAGAAAAAATCCAAATTTTGTGTTTAACGCGATGTAACAGCATTCTTTTTAAATCCAAAACTGGGAAAGTTCTGGCTCCCAAAGGATGTAAAACTGTTTATAATGCTGCTGGTAATGATGAAAAATACAATATAACAACTTTAATTACAGCCAATGCAAATGGGAAACTTGCACCTTGACTAGTAGTCTACAGGTACACCAGGATACCACAAGGTATAGCTGAAAACTTTCCTTCTGATTGAGCAATAGGAAAGTCTAAAAAAGGGTGGATGACTCAAGAGCTTACTCTTTGAATATATTGCTAATATTTTCGTACCCTGGCTTGAAAAGGAAGGTATTCCCAGACCAGATGTGATGTTCTTCTTAGATGGACATGTTTCCCACCTTAGTCAATTTTGTATTGACAAAAATATTGACTTAATAGCATTATATCCAAATGCTACACACATTATGTAGCCTATGGATGTATCTGTATTTCATTTCTTAAAACCCATTTGGAGACAGAAAGTTGCAGATTGGAAAATTCAACATAATGGAGAGCCTCCTAATAAGTACAATTTTGCAATAGTATTAAAAGAAGTTTTTCCTCATATTAAAGATTTAAAAATAAAAAATGTGGATTGGTTCATTGGGATCCAAAGGCAGTTAAGGTTAATGGAGAGCCAAATGCAGAAACTAAAACTGTAAATATGAGAAAAACAAACTTTTTTACAATATTAGAACGTGAAATCAGCAAGGATAAAATAACATCTTTTATGGACAGTCAAAATGAATGGGAAGGGTCTACTGAAGACACATCTTTATTTAATTTATGGAAATTGTGGCATGACCACCAACTTCAAAATACTGAAAATACTGAAGAAAAGGTAACATTACTTTTATATACATATGAAATACTGGAACTAAATAAAAATTTTTCAGCAATCTAATGAAGAACTGGCATCCATACAAGAACCAGAGTTCTTAGATGTAGTGTCTTAAGACAGAAAGATTTCTCCTGCTGGACCAATAATTAGAGAAGCAGCAGCACCAGAGACTCCTTTAAACAATGTGACACAACATTACTACACCTTCTTGTTCTAATAGCATTGAACTGCACCTTCTCAAAACTACCCCTTTAGTGAAAGGATTTACTGATCATAAAGAAAACATTCCTTCCCCTTTTAAAAGAGTTTTGTTTTGGAAGGAAGACAGCCCAATTGAAGTTAAGAAAAAAAGAAAAGAAAAATTACCAGCCATTGCTACTTCTCCACAAATGTTGGAATATTTTAATAAAAAGTTGAATACCAAAAAGGAGATGGAAAGACAAAAAGAAGAACGGAAATTAGCTAGAAAAGAGAAAAAAGGAATATGGAACAAAAAAAGGCAGAATCTAAGCAAAAGACCAAAAAGGCTACAACTACAAAGAAAAGATGTCTCATCTTCTTCAAATGATTCTTCTACTCAGTTTTCTCTTCAAGAATCTGACATGTCAGAAACATTAGAAAGTGAAGATGAAGAGGATGTCTTAATTGCCAATAACATGAATTATAGTGAATTAAAGGCCAATTTAAGGGTGGCAAACGAAATTCGTCGGGAGTTTAAATTTGTGTCTGTTGTTGAAACATTATGTTCATCTGATAATATTGTTGTTATGGGTTGTAAATGCATTGATAACACTCAAAGAATTTATAGCAGTTGAAAAGGATATCAGCGAAATAAATTTTTGTCAAGTGTTAAAAAAATTGGAGCAGCCTGATAGTGTTGAAGGGTGAAAGGGTTAGCTATAGGTTTAAGGAATCCATTGGTGTAACTTCTTAATTAATGAATAAATTAATTAATCCGAAATTGTTTGTTTTATTAACCTCACTAAGTAGGATGTCAACTACTAGAACTAGCTAATATGCACCTGTCAACCTTTGGAGCAAATGCATGAAGTAAAAAAAAAAAATTCCAAAAAAGAAAATTAAAACAAATTATGATTTTAATATGAATGTTTACCTAGACCACACTTAAGGTGTTCTATCTGAAGTTGATAACAAAATATAGGGGCAAATTTATGAAATTAATTGTAAATTTACCATTATATTTTTTTTAAGGTGTCGACTACTGGTATCTTAACCTTATGTTTTTTTAAAAGATGATCATAGTTGACTTATGATTTTCCACCAAGGTTTAACAGTCTGCTTTTTGGTGGAAATCCAACTTATATTTTTGTTGTGTATTTTATGAATATGTAACATATTCTCAAATAAAATTAAATATTTTGAACTTGGACTTTATAGTAATCTCTTTAGTCCATATTCATTGTATAAAAGATGAGGAACTGTTAAGTTAATCCTAGAGAAATATATTGAATATTCTTAGTCAGGAATTATAAAAATAAGCAATACAAATTAAAAGTGGTACCACTCTACCTGTCCATAACAATATGGAACTGATAAATATTTCCAATGAATCATTGGGAAAACCTACAAATTACAACAATAGCAAATTCAGTGATAAATGTACTGCTTTTTAATTTGCCAATTTAATCATTATGCAACTATTTTTAAATATAAAAAATGCCCTCAAATTGTCATTTATTATGTTAAACACTCAATAATTTATATCTACCAATATTATTATGATTTAAATTGATAATGCTTTTTAGCTAGTACAGTAGCATTAGGTTAAATAAAATATTGCCCTTCACTTGAAAATATTTTAAGTATTATATAGAACAAGTGAAAACACCTAGAAAATATTAAATCTTCGAAAATCTATTCAATAAGTATAATTAAATTGGAGGGTGTTCTTTCTTGTGAATGCCATTAGCCAAGTGATCATCTACAGTTCAGGACACACTGAGAATGCAGTGTAACCAGTCATAGGCAATGTATTCCTAATGGGAGACCGACACACTGTGTTACTGGAGCTGATTGTTAGCACACTCCATAAGACTTCAGACTGCATTCTTAGTGTGTCTTACACTATATCTACATACTTTCCAAATATGAGAATACATTTGTAATTTACTCACCTTTAAAACCATTCCACTCAGCAGTAAGAACAATGTTTAAAGCATGTAGTTTTGCCCAATCCATAATTTGAATAACATGCCGAAGATCAAACTGTGATAAGTTTAATTCTCCAACACTTTTCCACACATCTATTAGAGATTCAATTTTATTTTCAAATGTTTCATTTTTACTATTTAAAATGTATTCGTGTTTCTGTAAAAGAAGAATTGTAGTAATGACTGTATGTGAAATGAAATATAGGTATTTACTTGATGACATAAAAATTTAAATGTAATGCAAAACCTCATAGTCAATTCAATTGGAAAATAATTTAAATAAAAAAAGAAAATGCACTAAATACCTATAAAACATAAAAGTAAAGGCTAAGTGATTTCAGTAAAAACTAAACCTAAAGCAGCTACAAACAAAATTGAAATGTTTAATTAATTTAAAGCCACCAAAATCATGCAAATACAAAGAAAAGAGTCAATAATAAGCAATTTATATGCAATAATATATTGCTTGCCCATATGATAGGCTTAGGTCCCTATGAAATCACTTTAGCCCTAATCTAAAAAAATACAAAAATTAAGAGATACGTGCTTTGAAGGGTGCGAAATAATTTTGTTCTTCATTTACAAAACTCATCTTGAAGTAACGTAGAATCAAGCAATTAAAACAAACAACTATATAATAATTGTTTTGAATTGAAGACTACCAAGATGACATATCAATTGAGGCACTTTAATAAAACTCAGTCTACACAAACAGGCCAAAACTTCACTTGACGATATTGTTATAGTAAACTTAAGATGGCCAAATTCTTCAATTTTCTGTACAAATCACCGATGAAACATGGCGGCCATGCGAATGAGAAACTACACTGCCGTCACAATACATGCGAAAAATTATATTAACTAATTAACTATAAGCACGATAATTGTGTTTTTCACCTTATAAACGTTTAAGAAGTATCTTTCTTGCTGTTTGTTTACGTTTGAAATACACTCTATTTTGTTATCGTCCTCTTGTGACGCCATATTTACACCAGTTCTGCTGCACGCAAACGCTCTACGTATACGCATGCGTGCAATTGGTCGTGAGTCGAGTATTTTGACATTTCCCCATAGAGGTCAAAGGCATATTTTGTGCTTTAAATTCAAAATTATTTAATTATTTTCGAATTGAAAATTTAATTTAACCCCTACGTAAAATATTTATATCTTATAAGTAATGCATTATTTGTGTATAACAATATATTTAACGACTAATATCTTCTTTTGACTATTTCTTAATTTTTAATAGAAAAATGAAGAACAAGGATGTAAATAGATATACTTCCATCACTTCTAGAGTTCATTGCATCTTTGTTTAACTCATATAATTTATTACTGTAATTTTGATGACAAAGGATTTTCATTTTCTTGCAAGCGTGCATAATAATCAAAATTGTAAATGTTATATACCTAAAATCATGAAAAATTGAATGAAAAAAGGAATTATACTCTCTGCTAGTCTTTCCAGGTATACTTTTATTGAATACGAACGAATACGAATTAAATTCGATGCCGGTTTTCGGTAAATATTGTGTAAGAATTTAATTTTATAGGTTTGCTGATTTTTGATCTAGGAATCCCACGCACTTTTCATACTTGGTGACTGGCGGCATCTATGTCACATGTATACAAGCTTTTCGGGCGGCTATAAATAATTGTTTTTGCTAGGTTAGCTATAACTACCACATTTACAAAAAATAATAAATTTTGCGACCCTTAATTATATTTGGACATACCTAAAGGGAATAAAGAGAGTAATTTGGTTTAATTTCGCCTTTTCGAAGGTAAGGACGGGATATTGCGATTCGCATTGGCGATGTATTATTCTATTTCTGTCTATTCAATAGCATTGTTTTTCTATACCATTCTCCTGGAATCAGTAATGAGAAGTTAACCTACTGCATACTTTTTAAATGTATACCTACCAGTTTTTTCTCTACAAAATATCAATGTTTTTAAAATATGTTCTATCTTACGAATGAATTTTCCGTATGTATCAACTACCTACCTAATCAAATATTTACTGAATTTTTTCTTTTTATTTAAATATTTTTTTGCGTGTAGCTTTTTGAACTTTATGACTTTAGACTACGTGACAAACCTTGTCGCTATTTTAATTTGACACGTCACTGACACGAGTGCAATTAGGATATTTTCATCCTTATTACTCTCACCCAAAATTGATACCGATCTTTCTTTTATTCACGTTAGGAGCAACGTCTAGCTAGTGAACGTGTCACAAATAGTCGTGAAATAGAGTGGGGCAAACGAGTGAAATCGTTTCGTTGTGCAAAATTAGAATACAAATCGAGTGACTAACCGGCGAACATGGTTTCTAATTAGTTTCCGAGAAAATGGCGCCTAAAAATTCACCATTTTACATAGAGCGTTATACAGTACGCGGTGTCACAATAGTATTTTACTTTATAGGTACAAGTTCACAACTTATTGTGTGCCATGGTAGACTATTATATTGCGGAGATTGTCAGTGAGCCGTGCCAGTCTTCAATGCTTATGTTGGTTGCTTATATGTTATATGTGATGTTTTGAGTATTGGTTTAATTCGTGATGCTTGATTGTGGATTTAATAATAATTGCGGTTTCGCCGTGGGCCGTGTCATCTGGATGGTTTGTGAAGTAGCTTGTGTAGTTTGTATGTTTGAAGTAACTTCGATATGTGTACAGTGAGTTTCAGAAATGATCATAATATCTATATTATGATTCGTAATGAATGTTTTGAGTTCTCTAGCATGTTGAGTTCCATATGGCTATTTTTAGGAACTTAGTCATACGAGCAGTTCTTTACTACACTTGGCAATAGATTCATTACGGCCGGTGATTATAACGCCAAGCACACACAATGGGGTTCCCGATTAATAACCCCTAAAGGTAGACAACTACTAAAATCTATGGCAAATAGAGGTTTGAGATCTATATCAACTGGAGAACCAACTTATTGGCCGACTGACAGGAATAAAACTCTTGTTGTCGACTTTGGAATTTACAATGGTATTCCAAAAGAATGCTTGGACACACAATCTTGCCTTGAATTATCTTCTGACCACTCTCCTGTTTTAATCACAGCTAGCACTCAAATAGTAGAAAAAGAAATACCTTTATACTTAGGTAACAAATACACCAATTGGAATGACTTTCGAGTCCACCTGGACAGTTTGCTGGATCTCCATGTTCCTTTAAAAACTGATGCCGACATTGATAACATGGTAGAATATTTTACAAGATCAATCCAGAAAGCAGCATGGGACTCGACTCCAATTAAAAAAAATGTTAACATGTCACAAGAATTACCGATGATAATAAAACAGAAAATAACTGAAAACCGCAAATTAAAGAAAATCTAGCAAATAACTCGAGCTCCCGCCGACAAAACAAAACTAAATCAAGCAACCGTAGAACTGAAAACTCTGCTTAATGATAACAAAAATAATGAAATACAGAACTATCTCAAGAACCAAATAGCCACAAAAGCAACCGACTACAGTTTGTGGAAAGCAGCGAAGAAATTAAATAGACCACCACAAGCCAGTGTGTTTGCCAATCACCTAGAAAAAGTCTTCAAACCCTATCCCGCAGATAACAACTACGACATTGAAGCTGAAGTGCATGGATTTCTGGAAAGCACACAGCAACTGGAATTACCCCTAGAAAAATGACAAGAGCAATACAGCAGTCAAATCCCAAAAAATCTCCTTGATATGACCTAATTATAGTGTCAAAACCCTGAAACAACTTTCAGTTAAGGGAATGAAATATTTGACAAAACTGTACAATGCAGTCCTAAGAATGGACTATTTCCTGATCTCATAGACGGTAGCCCAAGTCAAACTAATCCCTAAACCAGGAAAATCAATGGAGAAAACAACATCTTACAGACCAATCAGTTTGCTACCCGCTGTCACAACTATTAGAAAAAATTACTGTTAGAGAAAATAGAACCAATCCTGAAGGCTAGCCGATTAATACCTAACCATCAATTTCGATTTAGAGCGAAACATGCGCCGATAGAACAAGTCCATCGAGTTACAAAAAAAATATACAAATCTTTTGAAGACGAAGAATACTGCTCTGCTGCTTTCTTAGACATCGCTTATAGGCATTCGACATGGCGTGCCACGATGGAGTACTATACAAAATCAGGAAAAACCTTCCAATTAACCTATTCCTCATCCTACCATCCTACCTGCTAGACCAACATTTCCCAGTCAAATTTCAAGATCAAATCTCAACTCTACGTCCAATAATGTCAGGGATTCCACAGGGAAGTGTACTTGGCCCGATTCTCTACCTTATATACACAGCGGATATTCCAATAAACACCAATATAAACTACGGCAACATATTAGTATGCAGATGACACTGCTGTCTTGGCATCTCATCAAGATCCTGTTATTTCTTCCTAAATCCTGCAAACCTACCTGAACGCTATTTCTGCGTGGCTAAAAACTTGGCGAATCAAGGTGAACGAAACAAAATCAATCCATCTTAACTATACCCAACGAAGAGGAACATGTCCAACTATGGCGTTAAATGGACAGCTTTTGCAACAAAAAGAAAATTCAAAATACCTAAGAATTCACCTGGACCGACGACTAACGTGGAGAACACATATATTTACAAAGAGAAAACAATTAGGCATAAAATAGACCAAATAAAATCGTACGTAGACAAAAATTTGAATGTAATTTGATTAAACCAAGAAATTTCAGTTTTCTTATCAAAACGCACGTGTATGTTATGAGATCTCATCACGTGCATGTTATTGTTAAATGTCATTTGCAAGGAATGTTGATAGTGTGATTTTTAACGTTTATTAACATAGGCGTAGAAAAAATTCAGCATATCTCAGATGCATCCGATGTGGATATTCAAACGCAGCAATAGTTGTACGATTTTTACCACACAGGCGGAAAATAAACACTGAAGGAAGAGTCCCTAGGTTAGCACCATTTCAAATTAGAGCACGAAGTGGTACTTAATTATATTCAAATATATTTCAATGTTTCACCGTTTGTGACAACAGGTAAGTTCTAAAGGTCATAGGGCTTATTGGGTAAATATTATTATAGTTTACGGTTTTGAAGTAGCGGTGATGGAAAATATTTAAAATCGAAGAGATCCTAATCTGTAAGCGAAGATACCCCACTCTACCCGCATGATCATTTATTCCGTAAGCTATTTAGATATTAAGTTGCTGTCATTTGGACTATGATCAGAAATTATGTTGTGAATGTGAATTGTGGAAGTTATTTTTACGATGATTGGTGTATTTGTATTATTGGTGATAGTTGTGCAATAGTTGATTGGTACGATCATAACATAGTAGTACTACATGTCAAAATTTTCCCAATTTAATAATATACATCGAAAGAACATGTACTAAGTGCTTGACTCATAAAAAAATAATATTCTTGTGATAATTTAGTAACATTTATCTTAAACATGCCATCTTCTAGTGGTAATAGTAAAGTTAACCCAGACCTTGTAAAGGAACGGAAAAAATGTACATTTAATACTCTTGAATTAACTCATTTATTGGATGGTGGTGAAGATAAAACTAGAGAAAGACATAGTAGAGGTAGATCATGTGTAATTTGTTCATTAGCAATTATACTAATAAATACTTTTTTACAGAAAATTTTTTCTTAGAAGATCCCGAATTAAGGTCAGAAGTCCCATTAGAATATTTGAGCCACAAAGAAAAATATGAAGAAGCTGTTAGAAAAGCTTGTATACTTTTCAGAAAAGTTCAAGAACTTCAGAATGAAGGAAAAGGAGGAATGGAAAATTTTCGGTAAGTACATTATTATTACTATTGTTATAGATTTATTGATTTTGCAAAAAACTGAATTGTGTCAGTTTCTAAAAGCAAGTATGATTACATTGTGAACATTGTACCTAGATATCTAGAGATGACAATATTTTAGGTCTATAACTTCCTGCAAATAAAGTTTCACTTTCTGTGTCTTAGTGTCTTCATTTTTACTTGTATTTAATAGTTTAGGGATATGTAATTTTTAATAATAAAATTTTCTTTTTATTATTGCTGGGATTGTTCATAAAGTACTGTAATAAAATAACAATACATTGTTAAATATTAGTTTGAAGTTCAGAACATAATTAATCACTTTAACAACAATTTTGTAATTGTTAATTGTTTTTATTGCATTATGTAAAGTAGATCTATGTAGTCAGTAATTGGCAAAGAAAAAAAACTAGGCAGATCAGGATTCCAAAATATTTATTCATATGATTTTTGGATAAATATACAGTAATAGGCATTCCAAGGACCTGTCCAAATGGCTACCAGTGGGGACACAGTTTAGATATGGCAACCCTGTCGTCATGTTGTCATTAACAGGGTCAATGATACATATATAGTTATATAGATTGCTCAAAGCTGGTCGTTTGCGAGCGGCCATATTGCCTGGCAATTATTTATTAATTTGAATCCGTTTAGCAAAAATGTGTTTTAAAACCAATTTTCAGCCTTTAGATATTTTAAAAATAATAATTGCTTACATTTTTACTTCAAGGCATAAGCTTATGTTTATTTTGAAAAATATGGATGATCAATCTATGTAACTATCTATTTCATTGACCTTGTCAAATCACCAGGCCTACAGGGTTGCCATAATTTTGCCATATCATAACCTGTCAAAACCCACTGGTAGTCATTCAGTTTGGAATGCCTAGTTGGCTATCGAACACTTTCCAATACGCCTTTGCACAGGTGCATGTGAAAACTACAGAGTGTTAGCATTAAAGGGAGCAGGAAATGAATAATATCAGCGATGCCAGTTTATACATGGTTGGACCATATAAACTGGCAATGCTTTTATTATTTATTTGAGCAGTTGGATACCTTTCTTCATTTCTGATATTATTAGTTTCCTGCTCACTTTAATGCTAACTCTCTGTAGTTTTCACATGCACTGTGCAAAGTATCTTGGAAAATGTTCAGTGGCTGACACTGTGTAGTTTGCCCTCTTTTCAGTTATGTAAAACTAGGTATCCACATACCCAGTAGGTATTTCTAATGTAAACAAAAAACCTAAGTTCCATATCTTGTGCAAATGAATAATAAAAACAATTTTTTTAATTAAATTTTTTCCATATTTTCAATTAATAATAATAATTTTACATGAAAGGGAGTAAATAGGGGTGCTGTGTGGGTAAAATAACATAAATATTTTTACTTACCTACTTATTATAAAATATTTTTAAGGCAAGTAAAATTAAAAATGAATTGCTGTACTATTTGATAATAAATGATAGGATAGTAAACTTTTTGCACGACTTGACAACAGTGTAAGATGAAAAATTAGCTTCCCTAAGACATTTTATGACATTTTTATTTTAAATGTCATTTGCACAAAAATATGGAACTAAGATTTTTTGTTTAGAACAGTGATACCTACAAATACATATAATGCTTGATTTTTTCATAATAAAGCAAAAATAGAGCTAAAACTACCAATTTTTGTGTTATGTATCAGATATTTTTTTATAGCAGTTTTATATTTTAATAGAAATAATTCTCATCCAAAAAATAAATTGTTTTATTTTGATTTCTAAAATTTTTAATTTTTTGCAGTAGGTAATCCTTTCGCCAAATTAATACCTATACTTTGTGTTTCCTTTATTGCACACCTCTTATTAATAATTTTGTAACTAAAGCCTATTTTTATTACTCATGAGCGCGATAGTTCTTTACAAATATTAAGATAATAATATATGATATATGGTATCCCTGATTTCAAAGTTAATAGTCTCTCACCTTACTGCAAAAAGTGGCACATCGTTTTTTTTTGCTTACTCTCTGTAATTGGGTGTAGGGGAAGGAGTTGAAGAAGTTATAATAGGTATGTGATGGCAGCGATTTTACACAATATATGTGTATTATTCCACACTTTTACATTACTATTAGCCATACTGCATCCCAGCACAGCGCATACTTCTAATCAAATTTAAATTTGTTATTTATTTGATCAGTAGGTAGTGGAACTACAAAAAGTAAGATCATCTTGGCTAAAATTACAGAAACCTAAATACATAGAAAATTATTTGTTTGTTATCACTCAGATTTCAATAAAGTTAAACTTAATAATTAATCTCATAATCATACAAGAAGGATGCAAACAAAATTGATAAATGAATTGAAATTTTAAAAAATCAATATAAATAAATCTATTTTATAAAAATTCTTAAATAAATATGGAGTATGATTACATATTGGTAGACACAAATTTCGCTACTTAAAAAAAAGTCTCCACTAACTTAGCATAATTTTGCTATTGCTGGCAACACTGAAAAAAGTCCTAGTAACAAATTTCCTCCAGGGGGCCGATTCTCGACTTGTAGGAACCTTTTCCTATAGGAATTTGTGACACTTTCCTATATGTAGGAAAATGTCATAAATTTCATATGTATAGAAAAATTTCAAAAATTCCTATAGGAAAAAATTCCTACGAGTCGAGAATCAACCCCCAGAGGGCGTATCTTTTAAATTGAATCGCGGATAGGGACCGTGCGTCATGACTTTAACGCTAACTGGTGACAAAAATACGAACTTTTTGGGGGGTATTTATTAATGTTTTATACGGCATTTATTGTTTAATAATTATTAATAAAATGAAGTCGAATTATTTTCGTAATATCAATATCGAAAAAACTTGTTGCATCCGTGGATGTACAAACACATCACTTTAGAAACCTGGATTTCATTCGATAGTAAACAAATTTTATAAATTTCCACAGAGCACAATTATGCCTCACACCCAATGATATACATAATTACAAAGATTGCTTATCCATATGTAAATCAGACGACGAAAAGCGTATTTCACTGGGCAAAGTTTTCTTTTTATCTAGCTTGTATCAATTTTGAGCACTTAGTTGTAAAGAAATCATTTACAGAAAAATTAGAATCTTTAGTGTTTTCTTGTCATTAAGATTTTTACATATTTAAATGACCATTTTATATAAATATAATTTTACAGATAATGGTTTATTCTGTTGATTAAAACTAATGTAGAATGTTATGAAATAAGAATATCCAATTTGACAAAAATATCACGGCCCTCTTTACAATTTATTAACTATTTCTCATTTATTATTAAAATAAACAAATCATAAATAATACATTGCAATTACTGTCAAAAGAGATTGTAACAAACTTTAAAATATTAAAAATCCAGTGATTTTTTGTAAATTTTTTTAGTGACATTACCATTAAACATTATTCAGAATAGATAAGTGTCCAATTACAACTCTTACCAAAGTTGTTCATACCTCATATCAAAATTGTTTACATTACCTTTTCAAAATTGTATTACATATTGCAATTATGTATTTTATGTAGAATTGTTTCTGAAATAGTAGTCTAAAATTATTTATATCCATCTGTTATAAAAATTGTTTAGATCTCTTAATATTATTTAACTACATGAAAACTCAACTTTCCAAATACATAATGACATATCTTGAAGTAAAACTTTAATTATTATCTTTTTCTAAAGATTAAAATGCTGAAATTTTATTTTAACACATTTGGGCTAGAACGGCTCTATTTAGTGAGCACTAGGAAAGGCACATTTGCTGCGTTTGAGAATCCACATCGGATGCATTTTTTACATCTCGAGCGTTTTTTTATCCACATCGGACACATCTGTCCCATTACATTTACGTATACTGCATCACGTGATCAAAGATTTTTTACATCTCAGATGCATCCGATGTGGATTCTCAAACGCAGCAATTGCAACCAGCTTTTCATAATTTTTTTTATAGTTGGGTGAGCAATCTATAATATATGTATTATTGAACATCTCATAAACGCCAGTGGATGAATGACATTTAGATTAACATAAAGCTAAAAAGATTTGTAATTATTATTATCAATCTTTTTTATTAATTTACATTTTTTAAATGTTATTGTAATACTTTTAAATTCAGTGTTACTAAATACCTATATTTTAACATTGGATACACTTGTTTAAGGTACAACTTTACAATTTATTGTCACTTAGCCATTTAAATCTTTTTGCTTAAAATGTATATGCATGTCCAGATTTTAATAATGTTTCACATTTTACGTCATTTTGACCATGTACACGATTGTTTGGTACGGGCCGGTATCTATTTTTAACTATATTTAATATTTAAAAAAATACCCTTCATTATTTACTTGCAATGTTTACCCCATTTAATTCTAAAATTAAACACTAGAGAGGGCTAAGTTCGGCAGTAGTGCTGCCTCTATATTTCACGCACGGTCCCTATAGTGGCATAGTGACGTAAAAGTGTGGGCGTGGCTTGTGCTGAAATAACCGAATATTTTGTAAAAGCGCGCCGCGGTGGTGGGACCTTTAAAATGCAAAGTAAATTTGTGCATCGATGAATCTTTGCTTTTGTGCCCGCAATGAAATAAATATATGCGTCCAAACGTCAATAACAATAAAAAAATATTTTTTTCCGCAAATCGATAGGAAATTTTGACATTCCAAACAACATTTCTTAAAGAAAAAGTCAATATTCATTTCCTTACAGTAAGGAAATCTTGACTTTTTCTTTAGTTTGACAATTTAACATTAATATGTTTCCATAGTAACGCAACCAATGTTATTACGAATTTCAAAGCACCATTTATTTGTGAATAAAATTATTCGCGATTTTTTAAAATTAATTAATATCTATCGAATTTTAAACGATTTGCGGAAAAATAGTATGTTTACCTCGACTTACCAATCTTCACAGTCGTACAGGAATGTTAGACTTTTCCTACTTGGTAAA